CATACAGGAAACCGTGTATGTCTATTTTTAACACAAAATCCGACTAAAACCTTTTTGAATTTTCATCCACTAAAACTAGACTAAAACTGGAATAGAAATGGCTAAAATGTGACTGAAACTAATAAGCATTTTTGCTCCAAAAACTAAGACTAAGACTAAATCTAAATTGGCTGCCCAAAACAACACTGCTGGGTTTCAGTGCGCTCGGCGGACACGCTCTCATCATTTGAGAGCGGAGACAAGAACTTGATTTGTTTCCCATGAATGAAAATTCTTCATTTTATCAATCAAAGTAGTTTGTAAAAGCCGACAAAGCAAGGCTTGTGACTTTGTCATATGAACGGACTTCCCTAACTACATCAGAGACTGACCAGAACAGAGAGAGTGTGCAAACATCATTGACTTTGCACTGCACGGGCAATCAAAGCCGTACTCACGCATTTTGTACAGTATTCCCTGCCGAATAGAAGCTGCTTTATCTTCAGAAGAGACGACCGACCATTTGTGAGCTCAGAATGGAAAGGCATGCAAATTGACCTTGGCTCTTTTGCTTTGGGGGAACTTTCCATTGGAATCAAGCCACAAGATGCTCAAATAGAAATAACACCGTGGCACGTTTTTCCTCTTGAAAAGGGCCAGCCGAATTTGGAGTCACTGATCTTCAAAATAGACTCATGCATTTGGCACTAGCGAGAGGACATTTTGGCAGCTGACGTGTCAACTTTTACAAAGTGATGTTATCAGCTGCTGTTTTGGAGTGGACAAGGCCCTAAAGATACACACAAGATATACACACACACACACACACACACACAACCCCCTCTGCCCCATGTAAACTTGCTCGGCAAGTGCCCCCAAGCTATTCTGTCCTCTTTTGAAAAAGTCTGCTGCAGTATTAACATTTGTCTCTGCTATGTCACTGACTATATTTACTGGAAGACGTCAAGCATGCCATGCAGTATTCCAATCACATTCATATGTGTGTGTGTGTGTGTGTGTGTGTGTGTGTGTGTGTGTGTGTGTGTGTGTGTGTGTGTGTGTGTGGTGGATGATGAAGTCAGACAATGTCATTTAGTAGCATCATTGAGTTAGCTGAGCTCCATCACTGAGAAAGCGCTGTAATCGAAATGAAGAATGATGCTTGTGCATTATAATTGTTCTCTCTGCCTCAGTAATAAGATATATATACGGTACTTGCACATCCATATTACTTCTTACCTTCTTGCGTGGATTTAGTATCTCTCTCTAACTGCAGGAAATGCACAGTTAGTCTGAGCCTGAATTTGTTTAGCATGGAGGAAGGAAGCCGCAACCCTGGCCCATTGAGCAGTTTTGAAACTCTGAAATTAAAGAAAAAAAAGTTTCAAACGGATGTGATGTCCTGACATGTGACTGTCCCTCTGTAGTGCTACTGTAAACCAGTAACGTGAATTTGAGGCAAGGCATAAAGTTTATCGTGTTTAACCCTTTCATACACCCTACCTGATAACATGATACGCTATCCACTGTAGTAACCGCTCTCCCTGAAAGGGTTCATTTTCTCATTACCCCGGTAACAGGTTTGTTTTACTACAAGTGTGACATGTGCTGTAAGAAGATGGAATATCTTGCAGTCCATTGCTTGAGGACGGAATGTGGGGTAGTAGATACAATCATGATACGTGCAGATTAAAGCTAAAACAGTAACAATTTTGTTCTGGTCAATTCACATGTAAGCAGCCCGACTTCTGCCAGCAGCCTACTTGCAGTATGCGGCAAAGTTGTCAGATGCACTTTTAATTTACTGTGGCTCAGTGGGAATAAGGGATGTGACCTGTCAAGGTTTTTTTTTTTTTTTTTTTTTTTTTTTTTTAATGGATCAGGGATATGTTAAGCAGGTGGAGGGACAGCAAAACATGGTTCTAGTCCATGTAAATTAATGTTGCTGTGTATTTTCAGTTGTGCTATATAGTATTGAGGGCATTACGTTAAGGACTCCACTTGTAATTGCCTCCAACTGCCATCCTGTGACAGACTGATGAGACTTGAATTGAAGAGTAGAACTCGGACTCGATGCCATCACATTCAAAACAATGAAATGAGAGAAGTGTCAATAATGAAGACACAAAAAAATGAACTCAAGTAGATAAACTTTGAAGTCTTTTCATTTTTGGAAGACTGAACAAATTCACTTCTAAATTATGAACTGAATTGGTTCATTTTAAAAATTGGAGGCTGAACTTTGAACTAGATCGCATTGAAAATGAACTTTCCCAACACTGGGCACTCTTAATAACCCTACGACACATTCCAATAACTGTGCGAGTTTCCGAACGGTCGGAGTGGAAGAGTATCAACACAATCGGAATCGATCCGCCCAACCACCTTTAGTTGTCATGTTTTTTTTTTTTTTTTTGTTACTTTCTCTGACCTAAGGCTAAATTTGTAACATACGTTTCACTAGTAAAGTCATAATAACAGCAAATGTGTGAAAAAAAAAACATGTCTTGGCCATAATAATAACATGGAATTACCGGTAACCAAGAAAGTCGAGTTCAGTCTCTTTCGAGAGCTAGCTTTATTTGACTCCTGGAAATTAGCCACACGAAAGATTTGGTCAAGATTTTGAAATGAATCTGCGATGCCTCATGGATAAAACACAATCCTCTGAACACGATACTCTGTGGGTTACAATCGAGATGAGCAATTTACTGGTGGTCAGGACCAGCACTATGTTTCACTTCAGAACCAAACGCTTGAATAAAATTGAATGAGAACCACGCAACCACAGTCACCACCGCTGGGTAGTTTGAGGGTAACCACCTTGCCACAGCCTTCATCCTTAAGCAGCATGTTATATCATGTTGAATAACAGAATGAAGGGTCAAAATGTTGATCCGTTGCTGTTTTGACTCAAAGCAATCGGATTATTTCCTTCACTTTTCCCATTTCAAATGTTCCGGACGGAACAAGTAGATGAGCTGGTGGTAAGGAAAGTTGTTTGAGATTTTAGGGGGATTCCAAATGTCATTTAATTTGAATAATACCCCATTTGTGTTTTATGATTAGTGTTTATATTTAACCCTTTCACGCACCCTGTAATCTGATAACATGATAAACTGTCCACTGTCGTAGCCGCTGTGCCCGAAAGGGTTAATGATGTCCCTTTTTTTTTTTTTTTTAAACAATGACATCGTGCTTTCTTGCATTCAGGAGGCTCCATAGCTCAATTCATCCTACAAGCATAACTACCATTTAATAGCTTCACGCCCTTGTTAGCTCTCCTGCTGCTTTTATTAAATAATTTCATTTGTCACGCTTGCCCTTTTTGCCCTTGCCCCAGGGATGTCTTTGCACAGTAACGTGGCTGTTTAGAGGCAATAGCGAGGGCTTATGTTGCAGTGATCTAGAGCGACACCATCATCGTTTTCCTTGTTTGCCGGTCATGCTCCTTAAATGTCCACCATATCACGTGTGGCGTCATGTGCCTTGTCAATTCGGCGTCATACCCGCCCCCCCAAGCAACATGTTTACAACAGAACCTCAGTGAACCACCACGTGTAGAGGAAACAGCCAAATACTGAATGGCGTTTTCTGCTTTGACCTGGAACAGCAGATTAGAACATCTCCTTATCAGCTGACCGAGCACCCTTTGCTTAGCAACCTCTTACAGATGAGTGCTATCACTGGCGCCATGGCCAGGTGCAAAAGTCAGTTAACAAGAGCTTAGTGGTCTCATTCATTTGGATCGGATATTCAAACAGTAAATGAAGCCGCAAAGACAGAAAGGCTTTGGCACGTCATCGGGGAGACAATGGCGGTTCGAGACCAATTTTACTTAAGGGGCCTGCCTGGGGCCAGGGGTTCTGTCAGAGGGGGTACAATTAATGTGGGCCAAGAAAGATAAAAAAATCTAAAGATGACAATTCAATCGACCTGTTTTGAATATTGAAGCCAGGAACTTGATGTGGCACCAAGCTGTCTTGAAGCTCTTCCTCCTGTCCCCCATCAAGGCCCTCGGGAAGTAATTTAGGTCAAACCGCATTGGGGGCCGGGGACTAAGACTGTAAATTAGCTGAAGCTAGACATCTTAAAAAAAAAAAAAAAAAGGAAAAAAAAGCAGTAATTTATGTTTGTCCCTGCATACATGCAATTTTTTTCCCAACGTAAACTTGTGATGTTGTTGAATGATGATGCTGTGGTGTTGAAACAGTGCTCGTTGTTTCACATTTATTCTGTCTGCTTTTGTCTCATCCTTTTCTTTTTCCTCCGATAGAGCCTCTCTTCTAAAAAGCAGTATTTCCCAAGTCCTCTGGCTCTTTCTCTGTGGTGCCCTCAACTAGTGTTAGCTTGAAGCATTTGATCAACTCATGCTGACATTAACGGCTTGTTTGGCCGGCTGCTATTAAGCCTTTCATGCACCAATAATGATAACCTGTAACCTGTTAACATGATCGGCTGTCCACTGAAGTAACCGCTGTCCCTGAAAGGGTTAAACGCTTGGCTAATTACGAGCTTGTGTTCCCCCCCCCCCCCACCCACATATCATGAAAACTTGATTGCCATTTTTAGTGGTGCGCCAAAGGATCTGACTCGAATGCTTAGTCACACGTATTGGCACTGCCATCTGTGTTGCCGCATCATCACAGTTTAAAAGGGAACGTCAATTGAAAAAGGTTCCGGATGTCAGGAAACTTGTAGGTGATGACGTAAACTCATACATTTGGCCTCCCGGTGATGGTTTTCTCCCTGGTGAGCCGCAGTCCTGACTTGTCTCCGATGATCACTAATTATCATATGTGATAATAGGGCGCAGGACTGTTAAGTTTTTGATCAAGTTTGAACACGCATGCACGGAATTGGTGTATTTTAACCCTTGATCTACAGCAGGAGTCACTAACTCCAGTCCTCGAGGGCCGCTTTCCTGCATGATTTAGACGTTTCCCGCTTCCAGCACACAATTTTGTCATAATGACTTCGAAAGAGTGCTGACTTCCATGTTTTCTTTTCTCTCTCCTCAGTCTGCAGCCACTGCCACGCTTTTCTGGATGGTTTTCTAGAGGACAACCCGTCAGATCAGCTTCTCCCTCGACACTCCGACTCACAAGAAGACAGTCAATGTAAGAGTTGTACACATGAGGACGGGCAGACACACAACTCTATTCAGTTAGGTTGATTGTTTTCATTTGTCGTAGTCAGGAATATGCGACTCTCTGAAAAAACAAAATGCACTTTGGTCCCGACCACATAAATGCCAAGAATTTTAAATACAATTTTCGAGGCAGCCCGGTGGTTGAATGGTTAGCGCGTCGACCTCACAGTGCAAAGATACGGAGTTCGATTCCGGCCTTCCTGTGTGGAGTTTGCATGTGCAAGAATTTTAAATACAATTTTTGAGGCAGCCCGGTTGTTGAGTGGTTAGCGTGTCGACCTCACAGTGCAAAGATACGGAGTTCGTACCAAGACTGACCTGTGAAAGCCAGCATGGTGCCAAAGAGCATCCACACTGGGAAAACGCAAATTAAGATAGATGTAGAAGGCATGGCAACAACACAATCAACTTGTTTTTGACCATCTAGATCAATGGAAGACTCGAAACTGTCCCTAGGTGTGAGTGTGAGTGCAGATGGTTTGTGCGTCTATGCAGATCAATTGTAAATATATTCTTTCAATATACAATTCATAAAAATGTATTGTGGCAAAGTATCAACGAATCTAATAATACCGCATACATGAAGTCACATGTATCAAAATCTTCTTCTCGATGTGTGGCTGGCCAGAGAGTGACCAGAGATGGCCACCACGTAGCTCCAACCCCATCACTGATGATGCGAGTCTATTGTCGTACCAAGACTGACCTGTGAAAGCCAGCATGGTGCCAAAGAGCATCCACACTGGGAAAATACAAATTGAAGATAGATGTAGAAGTCATGGCAACAACACAATCAACTTGTTTTTGACCATCCACATAACATATTTTAAATTCCAAATAAAGGACGTGCATTATTTATGAGCGGCGACATCTACTATTTTATAAGCAGGGAGGAAAAAAATTACTTTTAACTCCCCCACCACCAGTGAATAATCACAAAGGATGCTCCTTTGTTGCATTTGAGAAGAGAAGAAAAATGCTCAAATTAATCCCAAATGTTGGTGTACCCTCACACTAATCCCAAATTTCTACGAAATTGGTCTGGAAGTTATACACAGCAATATTACAAATAATTACTCTTTTTTCCTCAATCTATGCCAGCAAAATATAATGACAAGCTGAACACATAACTGCTCTCCACCAGAGGACATACAGTTCAGAAATAACCCGTGTATCCACTTTTTGGGACATTGTAATTTGGTGGTGTGCTGTTTGATTTTCCTCATGTAAAAAATATGCCTTGGCTCAGTAAAAATTAGGAAATTAATGTCATGCAAAAGAGAGTTCACAGTTTAATTTAAGGTGAATTTATTGGAACCTAGTTTTTTTTTCCTTCTTATGGTCCATATCATGGTCCATATACATTTTGTCAAGAGGATGCAAGGCGGGACACTTTCCAGTTTATTCACGAAAACTGTTCAAAAAAGTAATCCCTTCAAATTAAAACTATCAAAAAATGTCTTCACATAAACCTCTTGCGTCAGAAGGCAATAAAGAAGTTTCACGCAGATAATGAAACCTGATTCTTTTTCAGTCCTTTGTGAGCAAAGCATTGACTGTAATTAAATCATGACGGGAGGAAATGAAGTCCATTTTTTAAAAAGAAAGATAACACTCCTAATAATGGACCTTATGTTCTGATTATCCCCTCAGGGAATCCGTTTGCCAAATTAGCTGAAGTGCCAGTTTCCTCTCCAGCCATCACATGACCAACTTGTTTATCAATGAACTGTATGCCTCTGACATGGGCACACAAACAATCGTTCAATATGAACAGAGTGCTGTTAGGTTTCCTAATTTTATCCAAAGGAATTTAAGAGCATGGCCCAAGGGATGTGCTAATTGTTTGGTTGGTGATTCATTATTTAACATTCCGTACATTTCCTGCAAATAAAATGACTGTAGTACATTAATATGCAGCCTTGAATTAATGATTCTTAAAAAAAAAAACATTTCCCCTCTTTTCTGATAAATCATATAGTTTGGCGGCCATTGTACTTGAGTATTTGTGCATACATGCGGCAAGCTTGTTAAATTGACGCAAGATTTGGTAATGCGCGTGATGAAAGACTAAAGACATTCTGTGGGTTTTGGCTTGAAGAGGAACACTTCCACTAATCACTGTAATTTCCCTCTGACTTCCATTCTGGTTTTGAATTACACTCTCACATGTTTGAATGATACATGCTTCCTATCTTGCAGTTTTCTCCTGTGATTTCGAGTCACCCTGTCTCTGGACTTTATCAAATCACAGTCAGCAAAGTGACTGGTCGGCGGTGTCTGCACGGCAAACCGAGCAAGCAGGTTGGATGCCAGAGGCAGACTACTCAGAGGGGAGCTCTGATGGTGAGAGTCTCACACTTGCGTGCTTCATGACATCAAATATTTATCAGGGAAGAGCTTGCAGTTTTCAGTTATGGCCCTTTGTCATTGATATTCAAGTCCGCTGTTTTTCTCAAGCATGTATAAAATCATTTCGGTGACATTGTTATGAAACAGCTCTATATCGACTGTTTAATGTCAAACTTTGTTTTTATTCGTTAAGGTCACTTCCTTCTCCTAAGCCCCTCCCCTGGTGCCGAGGCTTCTCAGAGATGCGAGTACCATTTAACCAGTCCGATTATGCCGAAAAGTGCGCACCAATGTGTTTTGCATCTGGCCCTCTATGAGACATCGCCATCGGCAGGAAACCTCACAGTCCTGATCAAGCCACTTTACTCCAGTTCATTCACGAACATCATCGTGTTCAAGCCTGAGAGAAGAGAGGACCCCAGGTCAGAAAACACAATGCAATAGTTATTTTGTTGACCATTGGAAGTTTTAAATCAGATTTAATGGCTATGACCATGGGGATGCCCAAGGGTCAGTTCATGCACAGCTTTTGTTGAGTCTGTATGCTTCAGGATGACAATGTTGGCCATCGCGGCAATGGAGATGTTACGCAGCTACATCTGTCAATGTCCGCGAGTGACAACAGTTTAATTAAGGCGCTCTGTGACTGTCTGAAACTAATAAAAATTAGATGAAAAAAAAAATCCTTCAACGACACCCCTGCCCCTCCCAAAAAAACAGAGGTACATTTAATTTTTTTTTTATTTATACAATAAAGCAAAAAAGATTGCTGTTCGTAAACACTTCAGTCCCTATTTTCGTAGACTGACACCCATGCACTCAGCATAAATGCACGATCAGGGGTGTAAGGCTGTCTTAAGTTGCAAATGCCCAAGTCACATGCACGGGTGAATATATAATCCGCAAGGGGAGATCTTGCAGTTTCCCGGAATAAACGCATATGGCATGTTCCAAAGTCATCCATGGACCCAAGTGAGTCAATTTCACATCCGTAATGTCATGCTGAGTGTGCACCTCCATCGTACTGATTTTAAGGAGAATTAGGGGAGCCGCTTCGATTGGCCAGAAGTCAGCTACGTTAAATCAATAGAAAAAGGATAGATGGTTGGATGGATGGATGGATGGATGATGCATGAATAGGCATCATTCCGGCAAAACTCTCTTACAGAATTTACCGTAGTTCTTTGGTTTCAAACTCAATTTGTTATAAGCCACACTGTTGTAGTTTTCTGCAAGGCCCCGTGAGGACTGCAACACCATTTAAATGAATAACCGCATCATCCTATGTTTCCACGTCGCATAGTGAGTTGTGAAATCAAAAGTCATTCAGCTATTGTTTGATTTATTTGAAAAGGTTTTATGTAACACACAAAAAAAATAAAAGCTCAATGTTTTTGAAAGAGGAGACACTTCACAATTTTGTTTTGATTTTGGAAAGAAACATAAAGTAGATGCACGAGATTTCCACACCAAGTAGCCCCGATCTTAAGTTTGACAACTGCTTTATAGTTCTATTTCCAATCCCCATGCGATGTTATCCATTCTATAAAACTTGCAACTGCAAAGAATTGTAACTATGTAGTCAATTTAACATGAATAGAACAATCGCAGTATTTGGGAACTTTGTCCTGCTCGTGTCAGACTGTTGCCAGGTAGAATTTATTCGCTGTTCCTTTCCAGAGGCCAATTTGGTGCCTCAGAAACATAAGAGTAGAGCCAAGATTCATCCAACTGTCCCTTCGAGACAGAACTTGCCAACATTTTGGATGTGAAGTGCGTCTTAAAACACCTGTTGTGGGTTCACACAGTCATATAATTAGATGTGTGGTAACATCAGCGCCACCATAAATGCAGGTGGCATCCTGGCTCTATTATGCTTCAGAAGTCATCCAATTCACAAGACACGGGAGAGAGAAAACAAATTTGTGGGGCACAATTGTTTTTGCTCAATGGGAAAAGGAAGAAAACGACCCCTGCTTTCCACACTCATTGTTTGAATGCAGATGGGAATTGTGCAAAACACATGACACACATGACTCCAAAACAAAGTCTCTTAAGAGATATTTCTATAAACAACATAATTCTAAAATTCAATTACTGCTCTGGATGGTCCTTTTCCTCTTTGACCCAGACGACACGATGTCTGTGATTCCAAAAAGCAATTTGAAATGGGACCTTAACACACTTTTCCACTCTATGTCAGTCCACCTCAGATGAGGTTGGGTGCTTTTGAAACACGACTTTCGTGTCACAATGCGCTTTCGAGTTTTAAGTTGCGTTTGTCGATGTAGCGACCACCTGTGTTACCTGACAATGAGTTTTCGGAGTTTTCCTGCGCTCGCCAAGATACAATCATGGAAGCTCCTTTTAGACCCGATCATGACACTCATCTGTTTCAAATATAGGTTGAAAAGAATTTTCAAATCATTATGTTCTGTTTATATTTATTCATTTGTTATATATTTATTATTTGACACGACATCCCAACATGATGGGAATCGGGGTTTGTATCTTTTTGGGAACAAATTGAATTTCTGTTGTAAATGTAATCAACTGCCTCGGGCTAGGAGGGAAGGCTTTTCTGGCTTTAACTGCTCTCATCACCGCTGCAACCAAAATAATCTCGAAAAACAACAAAACACACTTTTTGGAAACAATTGAATTTCTGTTGTAAATGTAATCAACTGCCTTGGGCTAGGAGGGAAGGCTTTGCTGGCTTTGACTGCTCTCACCACCGCTGCAACCAAAATAATCTCGAAAAACAACAAAACATGATCATTTTTGAAAGAGCAGAATAGCTGCTACGTTTCTTATATTGGGTATCAATAAATGTTGTACGTTTTCATAATCGTGTGGCTGGTCAGTGAGGTCTCCAACTTGCCCATTTAATTAGTGTGAGAGTGAATTTGTGCATTTGACGTGCACGTTGTAAAAAGAATACACGTTTGGATTTAATGCAGTCGAAGGCCAAGGCAGTTTTTCAGACCAAATAAGAACACAGAGAGTAATGCTTGTCCCCTTGCTGGTTCATGAGTTTATGAGGAGCAATGTTCCTCGTGGCTGTGTGGAAACAGAATGCAATGTGGGGGTGAGGGGAAGCCAAGAGAATTGTTTCGTAGATGAGAACAAGTATTTGCTATTGATTTAATGCCATGGTGCAGCCATCTCAAGGGCAGATGAAAGCAGATCTTTCTCTCAATAGGGACTCTGGAAATTAATTTATATAATCTCTCCGGACAGAAGAAGGGTGGGTGGGCATATGGAATGCGTTTGTACAATGGTGGGGGTCAGTGTCTGCACGACTGGAATCAACAATTCTGATGTGCATGCAGAAACACTCCATGTAAACTTGTCTGTCTAGTTTTAGGTGTGTATCACACTGTTGCATATGTACTTCAACTACATCCTATGATTAGCACAAGTGTGTCAATTGTGATTGTGTACCCATCATTAATTTGCTTGCCTACAAAGCTGCAAAACATGAACACATTCATAATTGTCAGTATGGGCAACGCAAAAGGACAGAAATGTTCCGTTGGTTTCAGTTTTAAGTTTGATAGTTCGAAATTTGTCCTCTATATTTCCATTCGTTTCCACCCATAACACAACACGGTTAAAACTGCTGGATCAAAAATAACAACTAGCCAGTATTAAAACGAATCAAAATATTCAGGTTGAGGGTTTTGTTTTTTTTTGTTTTTTTTTGTCTAAAACAACCCAGAAAGTTCAAGTGACCCAAGTAGTGTGTCAGTCTAATTTTGGACAAAAATTGTGTTCCTGTATTTTTCACTCAGCAGTTTTAAGGGTGTCGCAAATCTGATCAGTCGATACATATTGACGCTTCCTCCTCAGCTCAATAGGCATCACATGTCATGCAAATGTCACGTCATGCACAAGTTAACCCCAACATAGTTTACTCCAAATGACCCACAACCAAATCTATCCGTATTGTCCAATTTGTTGCAGCAGGGAACGGTGCACCGTGCGCCCTTGTGATTATCCCAGCATTATACTGCATTTAGCCATCCCCCAAGCAGATTTTTATAATATTGTTATGCGAATTTGCTGAATGTTGAACCCCAAAGCCGACAAATAAAAAAGAGGAATTTAAACAAGATTTTATTGAAGGAAGCGCTGTAAAGTAAGCGACAACCACCAAGTACAAACGGAAACGGACAACAGGTGTCGATGTGAAAAATACGGAATGGATAGAAGCCAACTAAAATAGATATACATTGGCACATCAGGAGATAGATGTTGCTGAAGTCAAAATAATAGAATCTTAAAGACATGAGTAAAGTTCAGTTTGATTATGATGACCGTTTAATAATAAAATAAGAGGTACTCTCACTTTCACTTTTCGTTCACTGTAGCTTCCTACATGCTTTTTTTTTCACTTCTTCCTTACCTGATTGGCTTTTGTTGTCATTAAAAATTGAATTAATTTTGCAGGACGGAGTGGGAAGCTGTAGAGACTGGAATAGGCCCAGTGGATGAGCCCTTTCAGGTGACTCTGAGCTACACTGGATGTTTGCAGAGTGGATCCACTGTGGCGCTCGACTCACTGTACTTCGTAGACTGTCAGTCAGGTAAGTTCATAGACTCTATTTTCTATAGCGGGTATCCTAAACAAGGTTGTGGGTGAGCGTAGAGTTCCCACATGATGAAAATGCTTACTCCGCACAGGAGGTCGAACAACAAAACTGTGAGCTAGACACGCTAACCGCTATCCACCGTTCTGACCGAGAAAAGGGACTTTTACGTGTAATGTTAAAACAAAAAGTGGAAGTTCTCCTCTTATGCTCAACATGTTTGATCTTGTAGAGCAGAAAGGCAAACCAGTAGATGCATAAAAGAAACATTTATTTGCGTCTATCTTGGATGTGTGATTTTCTGTTGTTTGTCCTGGCTAAGACGAAGACAATGAGGTCATCCCACCGGATATGGACTGTGGTGATAATTTCTACTGTGAACACTCTGAGTATTGCATCGAGCGAAACCATGTGTGCGATTTCCACACGGACTGCCCTTTAGGAGAGGACGAGGGCTTCATCTGCGGTAAGGATTATTTGGCAGTGATAACATGTCAATATTGAGCATGCATTTGTAATGCACTACCAACAGACATGTACACAGAGATTTTTGGGGGCAAGTGCTCCAGCCAACTGCCCCCCCCCCCCCAAAATGGTACCCATTGCCGAAATTTTAGTCCCAATCAAGAAAAACAGTAGTAGGTAATTTACTGTAAATCATTCATTCATTCATTCATTTTCTGATCCGCTTCATCCTCACAAGGGTCGCGGGGGGTGCGGAAGCCTATCCCAGCCGTCTTCGGGCAGTAGGCTGGGGACACCCTGAACCGGTTGCCAGCCAATCGCAGACTGTAAATCTCAATTATGCATCATTTTCTATTAATACAATCAACATCTTCAACAAACCGAACAAAGGAGGTGAATGGAAGCTTACAGTGGAGATAAAAAGTCTACACGCCCCAATGGTGGAGGCTTGTGTGAACTGCAAAGCGAGGGGAACAACACTTATAAGAACTCAAATGAATTCCAGGATGATCCCAAAACACTTTAAGGGGGAATAAATGAGGCTATTTTGTTACTTTTTAATTACTGTTTAATTTAAAAAAAAAAAAAGGAAAAACCAGCTCAAAATGGCAGATGCCGAAGCACCACAAGGGCGTAAATCTATGCACGTGCCTGGATACCAAATAATGTGTTTTAAAGTAAGGCACACATATATAATATCCAACCTATACTTGTTTTTAATAGCTACTGGTAGCATTTCATGTATGTACTGTACTTTATTTATTTATTTATTTTTTAAAGAGTATGAGGATTTTTTTTTTTGTCTTCTCTCCTCATCGGCTGTCAGCTTCACAGTCACCTACACACCGATGCACACACACAATGGTACCATTCGCAAAGCTGTTCTGAATAATAAAATAATTTGATTATCTGAGTCATGTCACGTTGGAGTAGTTACTATGTGCATGATTGGTCTGTGTGTTTGCTTCACGGGCACTTTTGCCATCGTAATGACCAAAAAAAGCTGCTCGAAAGTTGCATCAGGTGAAATGACAAATGTTTATTTATTTATTTATTTTTTAAAGAGTATGAGGATTTTTTTTTTTGTCTTCTCTCCTCATCGGCTGTCAGCTTCACAGTCACCTACACACCGATGCACACACACAATGGTACCATTCGCAAAGCTGCTCTGAATAATAAAATAATTTGATTATCTGAGTCATGTCACGTTGGAGTAGTTACTATGCGCATGATTGGTCTGTGTGTTTGCTTTTGCCATCGTAATGACCAAAAAAAGCTGCTCGAAAGTTGCATCAGGTGAAATGACAAATGTTGGCTCAAATAATCTAATAATTAGTCGAGAGTGAAAGCGGTCATTTTTTGAGGCTTCAAACTACGTGCCATGTTTTTGCACTTCATGCAAGCGCCAAAAACCCAACCTCTTTCATCATTACCGATTGAAATGAAAATTTGGAATGAATTGAATTTTACTGTTTACCCTTCAGTATAACAATGGGATGAAGGAGCGGCTGCGGTTTTAATTTATTTTATTTATTTATTTTGAGGCCTGTGTACTACAAGTTAATATTTGGAGAGTGCCATTTAATGATCTTGCGCTCATATGCACAACCACAGTGAAAATGAAACAAAACATTTCGGATGTGGGTGAAATGTAGACTTTTGTTGTTAGTTTAAGAGATTTCACCGAAATAGCATATTTAGGAATTCCACCATTTTTATACAGAGCATTTGGATTAAATATAACCACAATTTGTAATCCTGGGGAGTAGTCAGTGAGTGCCTGAAGTCTACACGCCGTGGTGATCTCTTCCGTTGAAGCGGAAAGTCATCACAGGCAGTCAGCTCTTGATTGCTTTAATTCCATTGTGGTGAGGTGTAAACACAGTCATAAAAACTGATGACGACAATTGCCATAGCCGTATCAATAACAAGATCCCTGAAGCATTGCATGTGTCCTAATTCTGAATTTACAACGCACTCATCGCCTTCCACTGGGAAATTAGCATTCTGAGGTAGGAATGGGGTTCTTGGTAGCAGCTGCAGTCTTTTGTTTCAATGAGTTTTAATGACAATCTGCTGTCTTGCTCAGGTTCAATGCCATTTGGCACACACTGCTCATTTGAGCAGGATGCTTGCGGTTGGTCCGTGTCCAAGCAGCAATCGGCTTGGAGGAGGGTGGCCGGTGAGGAGCTGCTGCAGAGAGAAGACATGCACAGCCTCACCCTGAGCAGTACGCCCGGTAAGCAATATGTGCAAGGGGCATACTGACACCAGGTACTTGTTTTACAAGGTTCCTGACATACGAAATGTCAATGTTCCAAACACCATGAATTCATTTGCTGAGCCTCGTAAGAATATGTCTTCCCAGTTACCACAGTCCTGACTGTTTTCCCATTTGCTTGTTCTAATATTCATGGCCTGGAAGGATAGAACAAAATGCAAAACAGGGCCGGATGAGTATAGAATACAAACTACGATATTGAAAGTGACTGGATACAAACAACTTGACGATGAGAGTTGTTGAGCTGGTGTTGTGGTGGAGTCCAAGGACATCTTAAGAAAAGGCAGCTAGTAACTTGTTGGATGAGATGCAGCTGCTGGCTGGCTCCCACATGTCTGTGTCCAAAGGTGAAATTACACACCTCCACATACATACGTACACCTGGGAAGAACTCGGGATGAGACAACAGGCCCAAGCCTGCTCTTCGCTGGAGTTATCTGCTGAGCAAGAAATCACACGGAGACCGTTTGCTCAGCAGATAGCTTGCTGCGTGTAGGTAATTTACGGTCAGTTTTCTACCGCACTTGGCCTTGAAATGAATATTGAACATGTTTCATATTTTTTGCCTTTGACTATTCCAACCAGTTTTACTGCATGCATCCCTCGAATAAATCTCCCATGCACTGTCCAACGTTACATTTTAAATGGCCAATAAATGGCTTGTTCTCGCTCCTCCGTGTGGCTCACTCGCTCGCTCTCGCTCGTCCGTGTGGCTCACTCGTATGCCTTGGGATCCCCGGGAAGAGCTGATTAAAGTGGCTTGGGAGAGGGAAGTTTGGGCTTCCCTGCTAAAGCTACTGCCCTGGCCACCCGAAATTGGATGAGGGGAAGAAAATGGAGTGATGGATGGATGAATAAATTAGTGTGTACATGATAGTATGCCTTGAGAGATTATTACTGAATTTCACTTCATTTGTTTGATGAGTATTTACATCCCACAAATAACGTGTCTTTTTTTTTCATCGATCTACTGCAGCAAAAATGTTTATTTTATTTTTTCCAGAGAACAGGTTTGCTAATCAATTACTTCTTCTGAGGAGCAATTTTTATGCAGGCTGATCCCAGGGACCTGACGCAAGGGTGATAATAAACAATCATAATATGACAATAGAGCGAATAAACATTTGATTTCCTTTTTGTATCTCGTCTCGAAACATTTTCAGTGGGACAATTTGAAGCACAATTAGGAATTTCAGTTTAAAGTGAATAATTCTGAATGGGTTGTATGCTCCTTTAGTTATGTTTATATTGATTTTTTTAAAAAGATAATATCTAGGATATTCTGTAGTGTAATTTTGAGAAGATGTATCACACAGATCTCAAAAGTTAAAATAAAAACGCAGGACTGTCTTGAAACAACAAATAATATTACTGACATTATATTGGTGAGCCGATACAGCACCGTACTGTACTGCTCATTTGCTTCCACCACCGACTTCCTACGGATAGGTGGCATAAGCGCGTTGCACCACATTAATATGCGTCCATCTAGCCCAGGGGTAGGGAACTCCGGTTCCTCGAGAGTCATATCCTGCCTGTTTTCCATCCCTCCCTACACCAACACACCTGATTCAATTGGCCATGATCATTTCAGGCTTCCACAGAGCTTGCTGATGAGCTGATTGTTTGAATAAGGTGTGTTGGTGTAGGGAGGGATCGAAAACAGACAGGATATGGCTCTCGAGGAACCGGAGTTCCCTACCCCTGATCTAGCCCAATGAAGCTTTTTGGGACCGTCTCGGAAAAATCTTTAAAATCTTCGATTCTCAGTTTTTCTACTCGCTGTGTTGTAATGAGGCACAAAATGTGAACTTTGACTCGAGCCTTAAAGTTGTCATGTTTATTGTCTACCGCCAGGACACTTTTTGTTTCTGGAGATCAGAGAGACACATACGCTGCAGAAGGCATCTGTCGAGAGCCCCTTTTTCCCTCCTCCTGTCGCTAATAGAACTTGCCAGGTAACGCTACTCATTCTGTCATACACCTTAAATGCCAACTCCTTGTTTGAAATGACATTTCTTTGTGCAGATGCGTTTTTCTTTTTATCTCTTTGGCTCCTTCAATGGCTCCTTGGCGGTGGCTATAGAGGAGAATGGGACGTCCACAGCACCGCTGATCTGGAAGGGACGTAGTCAGTGGAAGGATGACTGGGAGGATGTTGTCCTGCAACTGACAGACCTTCATCATGGGTACTTTATTCATACACAAGACACTTTATTTCGAGCCTTGCTCATACTGTGTTGAGCATTCTGTTGCTTTCCACTCAGCCTTAAATCTTTATAGCATATTTGTAGATGCAAAAAAAAAAAAAAAAAATGTTGGACCTACTGAGCTCCAAAAACTGTTTTTGATTATTTCCAATGTGGTGGATAGTCAATAGTACATTGTCTTTAAGTAATACACATGATCAGCAGCATCGACTCAGATTGCTTTTTGGCAGCATTGGGTTCTCAGGGCCTGCAAGGCCTTTTCTTTTGGCCTAATCAGAAGCACCGACTTACATTTACAACCTACATTTTAACCTCTGTTTCATGTAACTGTAGTTCTTTGAATTTGTTTGTCAGATTTCATATTTTCCTCAGAGGGCCAGTTAGCCGGCCCACAATAAAGTCAGCATTTTCAAAACCTCTGGTCGATTGGTCAAAGCTAGCCAAGTTCAACTCGCAAAACATGTCTGAAGTAATCATAAGGAACATGTTTATGACACTTACAGGGTCAAACAAACAAAAACATTGAAGGAACTTTGTTGACAATTAACATTTTTTTGATTCTGTCATTAACCTTTCATCAATGATAAGCTTTTGATAGATTTTCGTGTGAATTATGCATTGTTTCTTTTCCTTGTCCACGCGACAATGGACCCCTGCTGTTTGAGCTGGGTAGGGACTGAGCCCAACAGCAAATTGCAAAAATTCACAAATATTTGATTTGATGCTGTGGGTTATATTTCTTGGCATTACACAGGTTGACTCTGCATTGCACAGAATGAGTCCTGGCTGCTGTCTGATCGCCAATATATCTTGGATCTTTGAGCTCATGTCAGAGACTTACAGTAGTTGCATTGAAGCATAGAAGAGAAATACATTCCTCCATCCTGGCAAGGATCGACACTCATCTTTACTGGATTTCAGCTCTTTTCTTGACGGTTCTTTGTGCGTCACTGCAGAAATTGTGCCATTCGTCTTGTGAAGCTGAAATGCCGGCTAACACGCTGCTGCCATCCACCAACTTCCCAAATAAGATCTGAACTATAATAATGATGCTTATGATCATGTCGTTTTTGTTGGGATTTTATTTTTCGCATGTGATGTCCTGATAAACCGTTGGCTTATTTAGTTATGACACCTTAAAGACTCTTAATTTGATGCAATGTGTGTCTTATCACACACACACACACACACACACACACACACACACACACACACACACACACACACACACACACACACACACACACACAAACCTTTTCCTGTCTTATGGCCTGACTGTCTCTGATCTAGAATTCTGATGATTTCTAATCTTATGCCATTACTGTTAGCAGTTGTTTTTTTTTTTTTTCCTGCACAGTACTTATGTAGTATTTCATTAAATCACTCCTCCTGCTCAGAGCCGTTGGCTTTTCATGCCTCACATTGCTGGTCACTATGCCGCTTTCAAACAGCTCTGCCGTCCCTCTGGCTTAACTTCTGTAAACACAGAGGACCTCTGATCCTGGTTTGCCGAACCATTCTAGACTCTGTGGCTCCATTCAAATCTGAGCAGCTGAAAACAAAACCAAAGCCTGTGTCCACTGAAATAATTCACACAGCTGAACAGGAATACTGCAAAGTTGAACGCAAGTGGAAGATGGACTAGCTGCAGGTTTCTTCCCAAATCCTAAAAGACTGTTGCCGCCACTATCAGAGCAATGTTAATGAGGCCAAGAAACACCTGTCACAACCCACGTGTCCTATTTAAAACCATTGACTCTTTTGTTGCCCATCCTGAGCTCCCCCATAGTTGATCCCTCTGACCCCGTTTGTTTTGGCTGTTTCATTTGAGTCTGTGCCTCCTCACTTTTGTAAAGATATTTTATCTAGTATAGAATCGTCAGTTCTGGTTATCATGAACAGCAGTCTGTCTTGTGGTCTTGAACCCCAAAGTTTTAAACATGCTGTGGTGCCACCCCGACTTAAGGAACCTGGCCTCAATTGATTGTACTGTGCTAGCCAATTTTAGATACATCTCCATGCTAACATTTTAATAAAAAAATGTTGGGCATTTTAGTTAAAGTCATTTCTGGATGCGCATGATGTCCTGGAGGTCTTTCAGTTTGGTTTTGGAACACTGCATCATTGAGAGTATTTATTATTAAGATTTAATTACGTCTTTCTGGCAAATGACTCTGAGGACAACGTGTGTTTTGTTCTGCTGGACTTGACTGCACCATTTGATATGGGAGACCCATAATAGTTTTGTGGCTCTGTTAAAGCACCGTAGGGGCATGAGTGATAATGCTTTAGATTGGTATACTGTAGATACAACCGGGGAGAAAGCACTACATGTTGGTAGAGTAGTTCTGAGTCCCTCTCTGCACAGCTGATTTATGGAGTTCCACAGCGTTCTATTTTAGGGCCCCTGCTTTTCGTTTTGTATTTACTGAAAACATTGTTCTTCCTTCACTTGCTATCATGATTTTAAGTGAGATTTATACAGTACTGTATGCCACGAAAAAAAGAAAGATTCTTTTCTTCTTAAAACCATTTTCATCACTTCTGGATGGTTGACAAATTGATGCAAGTCCCGCTTTTTTTTCCCGATTAGCTTTGCGCAGTGCCAAAGTTGAAGCCCTTTCTTACACAAGGGCATATTCAAACAGTAATCATTGCCTTCATCACATCTCTACTGATTTACTATCACTTTATTTTAGAGTCTGCCAGTTTTCCCCCAGAAATCTCCAATTGCTGCTGTTCACCTCTTAACAGGAGCATCTAAGAGATAACACGTATCTCCTATTTGGCCTCCCTCCACTGGTTGCCAATGCACTTTAAATGTTATTTTAAGAGTCTTGTATTTGTTTCCAATCTTTAAATAGTCCCCTACATACCTCTCTGAGTCACGCCATCCTTGTCCGGTGTCTAAAGTCAGTTGAGATGGTCGTATGGCTCTGTTTCATTGCTGCTCCTGGGGGTACCAAATTCTAAGCGGAAGCTCAGACATGATCTTCCTTTTTCTGTTGCTACCCAACTTTGCTCCCAGTGGGCCTGGCAGTGCCTTGCATGGCAGCAGTCACCCATTGGTGTGTTAATGTGAGCCTCTCTAAAGTGCTTTGGGCACCATGATGGTGGAAACACAATACAATAAGCGTACCCAAATTACCATTTCTATTCTCTGCCTTTCAACTCAGCATGTTGTTTGCATTGTATTTTTGTTTTATTGTTTAGCTTTGTTCCTGTTTGTTTTTAACTTTATTGTTTTGAATTATTTTGCTTTTCGTTGAAATTTTCTCCAATGTACAGCACATAGAAATGTAGGAATGACTTGACTTCAGTGCAGTTAAAGCAACAATTATCTAACCCTAAGCCCACACATATGGAACGGGTTTTTGTGCAGGTTCCGTGTTAAGGTGACAGCTGTTTGGCTCCAAGGCTCCCGTGCTGATGTCGCCTTGGATGACATTGCTCTCGGGGCAACCTGCTTTGACACAGGTGAAAAAACAGAAATCATTCAAAACCTCCACTTTTTCCACAAACCTTTTTGATTACTTGACTAAAGCATCTTACAGTATAACAAGGGTTCTCAAATATTTTAGGTTCAGGGACCCCTTACATGGGAGACATTTTTCCATTGACTCCCCCCGCCCCCGCCCCCATAATCCTAATGCCAATTAAACATAGTTACCATTTGCACCCCTAAATGCCCTGGGCACATTTTCCCCCATCAAAACCAAAATATTAGTGCTGTTTTATACAAAGGAACTTAACCAAATTCAATGGAATTAAATAATTTTCAATCGTTGCTGACATGCACCGCTTCCACCAACAGCATAGCTGCCAATGGAGTTACTGTATTTTCCCCACTATAAGGCGTTTCAGAGTATAAGGCACACCTTCAATGAATGTCAGATTTTAAAACTTTCATATATAAGGCGCAGCACATTATAAGGCGCATAAAATAGAAGCCACAATAGTGACTGCGGTTGCGTTATCCATCCACTAGATGGACCTACGCTAAAGGGAATACAATACAATACAATACAGCTTTATTTATATAGAGCTTTCACAATCGGTCGCAGCTGTGACAAAGTGCTTTACAGAACATTTGAAATACTACGTCCAAGAAATCAGAAAATTGATCCATATATAAGGTGCACCGGATTATAAGGCGCACTGCTGGATCGTGCGGAAAATACGGTCGTTTACAAAAGGCAAACGCATTGTTGCCAGTTTAGTCATTTGACTGATAATAAGTGACTTTACAAAACCTTCTAGCATTTTTCTTAAGTGACTTGCTAATTGTGCTCGCCCTAAAATCAAACATGATTTTAATTAATGTCACATTGTTTTGCGTGTATGACAAGAACGCAGCCCAGTTGAAGGTAATTGCGGATTTAATGGCGCCATACATTTTCAAAGACAGTGCCTACTTACATATTGCATAAAAAGTGATTTATCGATTTTGAAAACTTTTGCAGAGATCGCCTCGTCTCATCTATACGCCTCTCTCTACTTGAGAAAAGATTGTGAGAGCGCTAGAAATGCTTCAAGGGCGTGCGGATTGTGTGATTTGTCACAATGCTGTCAGTGATTTTAATTGCCCCAAAGCGACGGGAGGAGGGGAGTAACTGGTCTGTTGTGTTTGTTTTATTGATGCACCAAAAATATTATTTTTGCCTATAGTATTTTGCAAGCTATGGCCCAGTTGGAGAACCACTGCCTCATAGCATTGCAATTTTGACGGTGGACACGTGTGACCGTGCACCAGCTCATCAGACACTTTCTATTCACTTTGGTGTAGAGCTGCACTGGATCATATAGTGAGCTGTTTCTAATATTTTGTCCCCCTGTGGCTGCAAGGGCAGGCTCATTCAATTTAATGTTCCTAGTTTCTTTTGGAAGAAAAAGATTGGATGTGTGATTCTTCACCTTTAACGACACCCTTCGTTCCTGTCTCATCTCAGATCTCAACTCTATCCAGCCGATGGCCGACCTGAGGGATTTCTTTAGTCCCGTTACAGAGCCTTCATTTTCAGGTAATTTTTCCCAAACTATGCGCTGCGTCATTTCTAATCCATTATGAATGACAAATCTTATTATCATGAAATGGATTGTTTTGCTGCTGTGTCTCTTGATGCATGAAGCCTCCAGAGAAGCTGTTAATCCATTCTGCATTAGCACCCATCTTCCAAGTGCCTCCTGGAACTTTCTTCTCTCTTCCTCTCCAACGTCTTCTAGAAGTGTCTCTGAGGACGTGGTTTTTTAACTCGTGCGGTGCCAGCGGTCCATACGGGCCGACCCAGGCCCAGTGTGACAGCACCTACAGGAACAAAAATGTCAACGTAACTGTGGGGAAGGAAGGAGCCTTAAAGGGAGTGCAAATGTGGAGGGTCCCTGCCACCAGCAGATACCTGTAAGTCACATGGTGCTTTATGCTGAAATAGAGTGATTCCCATGTAAGGTGTCATGCCACCAGTTTTCAGTGGCGGGTCATCAGCAGGTGCTGCGGGACATTTACAATTCACTTCATTTATAATACAATTGCAAATACAGCATGTAGGTGTTCATTTAATTACATGTATGTCAGTGATATCTAATGACAGGCAGAATAATTAAATGGTTTTCCGTTAGATGGCAGAAGGTACAATAAACCTTTGTATGCACCTGTTGCCGTTCATACAAAAGAATACGTCCCGGGTCTCCTGCGAGGATATAATCTTTGTGTTCAATTAAACAGGCCAACATTTCGCATCGAGCAAGTCAATTAGTCAGCAAATTGAGATGAGATCATCATTAGCATTTTTTTTCTTTTTGTGATATTTTTTTGTTTGGTGAGAGGTTTTGAATGTAGAATGGGTGTCGTGACTTAATAGAGGTTGGGCTCTAATAGCAGATTTTGTGCGGGAATATAAGATCCAGCTATGAATGTGTAATTCTGAGCGCTCCGTTGAGCTTATCATATGCGTCTTAAATGTCAAGTCACCATGATGAATAGTAGTAATAAAGGTGGCAGAGTACATCCTGTGCCCGGAAATTATAATAACTGTTCTTAAAAAGTTGGGTTATTGTTTTAACGAGTGGAGTAGGTTTAACTAACTGTTAACTTTAACTACACTGTAATCTTTTTGTTCAAAACCCGGTTAACTTTAACCAACTGTGAACGTGACGTTAACCCTTTCAGGCGCAGCGGTTACTACAGTGGACAGCTTACCATGTTATCAGGTTACAGGGTGCACGGAAGGGTTAAAGTGAACACATTAACAGTCCTTTCATTCATTTCAAAGCCGAAAGATGATTTGAGAATCAAATATTTTGATCAGTTCGTGTGGTGAAAGAACAAATCAAACTCGTATCTCAAAGCATCACCGTACTTTGTTACTTTGCACCACTTCCCACCAGAGGCATAAAACGTTTGCATCATTCCATCATTCAGGATCTCGGCTTACGGCGCCGCAGGAGGGAATGGAGCCAAAAACCACAACCAGCGCAACCATGGAATCTTCATATCGGCTGTGTTCCCTCTTGAGAAAGGGGAATTAATTTACATCTTAGTGGGCCATCAGGGAGAGGATGCGTGCCCGGGGGTGAGTGTCACTAACAGACGAATGAATAAGCTTGAGTGGAAAAGAGTGAAAAAAGGCAAAAGGATCACCTGGATTCCAATGAATGTCTTGAGTGTCCTACCCTCTTTTGATGCAGAGAAATGCCCAAACCCAGAAGATCTGCCTAGGGGAGTCATCTGTGATTGACAACAGGGGGGAGGCTAGCACAGAGTGGTATGGAGGTGGAGGCGGAGGAGGGGGAGCTACCTACATCTTTAAGGTGATGTGTCACATTTACAGATGACTTGCATGAACATTTCCATAAGCTTACCGAAAAAAGGAAAGATCATTTCCACTTTGAGGACATTTTAATTGTTGTGGGAAAGGTGAAGTTATTTTCCCCATTTTTTTGTTTTGAAACATATTTTTCCTTCCACATTTCTCAACTAATTAAAGCTCTTCAAACTTCCAATTATTATCAAAACTCAGGTACTGTTTTGCAAATTCCAAAATGAGCAGTTCACTTAGGTACACCTGGCCAATCTTATGGCATTTGATACAATCTTAATTTAACAATATATTGTACTTTGTTGGGGTGTCACCCAGGAAGAGGTATCAAAAATTGTTCATTACATCATGATACATAACCATAGAATAGGTCAATTATTAGTAGAACCCCATTTCAGGATGAAGCAGATTACCGGTAGTTCTATACCATCCGTCCCTCCATTTTCTAATCTGCTCATCCTCATTAGGCTCACAGGTGTGTGTGTCAGACAGAGCATAGTTCTATACCGGTACAAGAAAATTGGACATGTTGTTAAATGAATACCTCATTGACAGTGTCAATCAAAACTGAGCATAAGTATCTTTGTAAAATCTGAATTGGATGATTTTCAGGTTCTCTAAAGTTGTGGGTGCAGCAGGATATCACATGAGGAGATGAAAATGCCAAATGATTTAGGTGATGCTGTTTTAACAGATGGAGGGCGATGAGATGGTTCCTCTGCTGATTGCGGCCGGCGCAGGAGGGAATGCCTACATGGAAGACCCAGAGTCCAGTCTGGATCAGAAACCACTCGAGCAGTTTGAGAACAGCACCACAACGCCCAGCACCAATGGCCAAAGTGGCGCTGCAGGTAAGGTGATGGCTGCGATAGAAAAACCATCCATACATATCTTCTCATTTAGCATCTGCATCCATTCTAACTGGGTTCTGAAATGTCAGCTTGAATTACTCCAACTGTCATGTTTTCCTTCCTTCTTATTTGTAGAATCAATGGAAATCAAATCAGGTTTTCACTTCGGCTGCTTTTTATGCACAGTTAGCTCCAAGTTTGTGGTTTTATTGACGTTTCCCATAATAAGGATAGTAAACATTAACACACCGTTCAGTGTAAATTACTTGTACTACTTTTTCAATGATTTCAATTTTGTCTATTTTGGGTGGCTTTCAGGGAAGTTTCAGGGTCAACAATTTCCTCTGCTAATTAAATGTCAGAACGGGTCAAAGTGGACTTGAATGGTGTGTTAAGGGTAAAAATGCTCCCTTTGCAAATAAAATAATCATTTTTTGGCACTGTGAGAGAGGTATTATTTAACCATTTGTTTATTATTGTGTTTGTAGTGGCGTACAGTTGCTCCGATCATATGGAGATGTTTATAATATTTTGCCCTCATGCTCACAAGGTATTGCGTTTTGCCTAATTTTTTCTGCCAAAAATCAAAAACAGGCACACAGGAACATGTAACACACAATGCAATGCTGCTGATCGTGTCAAAAAGCAAGGCCAGGAACCTAAATGTTTAGACAACCCCAATGTATTCCATCGCACACCTTCTCGATTTTCTCATGCATTCCGCCACATGTTAAGTGGGTGACAAATGCAATAAGAATGGCACTCAGTCGTGCAGAGGTCTGCCAAGAATCTGTACAATGCTTGTGAAAGGAGAGAGGGAAATATAGTGTACAGGTAAAAAGTCATCCCGTGTAGCAGAATTAGCTGCAATAATAAACTTGTGGCTGAATGAATACATCTCTTATAGTGTCCTCAAAACTTTTAAAGGCACCTGGAGCAAACCCAGTCTCATTTTAGACACCTAGCGTAAACTTCATGGGTCGTAACGGAAAATAAGCATGTCGAGATCGTACGCACTACAGAAGGAATTTCATAAAATTTTCACTTCAACCTACTGCAAAACATCATCATCAACAAAAATCTCAACTGGTCTCAGTAATAACCATAAACATTGAATTCTCACAACACATACCTTACTTAAATGATCATATGATACAGAACAATTTGCACACAGTCATTCAGTCAGTGTCTGTCAGTTTGCCCTTTCTTTTTTCTTTTTTTTTTTTTGGATCAGTTGCTCTTGCTTCTGATAAAGATTGAACATATGTAGACCTGGTTTTGCAATGGTCAGTCCTGTTTTCTCACAGCAAGCAAGTTCTGGCAAAGAACAACAACTTTGTGTGTATGGCTTGCATATTGTTGAGGATTGCATAGTGCACACATGACTACATACGTTCCATTTGAATCTATGTACCCTATGTTGACCATCCCGTTATCCGCTATGAGGCCATGTGAATCTCTTAATTGAATGAGAATGTTTCTCGGTCTTTTCTGCGGAGTAGCAGGAAATATAAATTTTCCCACACACAGCGCTCAGTTTGCTGGAGTCGGTGTGCTCTGTCTAAATGAACGCCTCGGGCTCCACTTGTTAAATCCAATAAATGGAACGCCAATAAGGGCTGACCAGCACTACTGCTGCCAAATACTCAGAAAAAAAGCGCTCTCCGGTAACATAGTCATTTTTCCATAAATTGAAACAGTTTCCAGGTCTGACATTTTCCCCTCAAATATAGGGTGACTCAATTTCTTTACAATTCAAAAAAAGCAAATGAATGAATAAATCAGTGGAAATTATTTCAAATTGAGAATCGTATGTTAAAGGTTTTTCCCCTGCTATTCAACATCCAAATTTGCCATTTGTTTTGGATCCTATTCTCTAATACCAGTCGGTATTGCTTTGACACCATTTGTTGGAACTTGGTGCTGTGAGTTTAAACAGCTTCAGTGAGTTGGCCATTTGTGAGGGATAGTGACCAAGCCCAGAGAAGTTGATCGTGCCTCTAAATGGGCACCGTTCGGGACTTGATTTGATTGGCATGTTTGCTGTCGCATAGCCTCATCACTGGCTGCAAAGGCATTGTGGATCTTTTGCCTCAGCTCGTTGATGTTCCGTGTGCTTGATGCACATTATCTTTAACAGAACCCTGAAGAGACGTCCACTAGAAATCACTCGGCTTTTGAGGGTGTGTTTCTTCTGCAAATGCCAATTGCGTCCAAGCGAGCGGCTATGAGGAGTTGCTAACTGAGTGACTTTGATGAGTTCTGTTTAAAATAAATAAAAAAGCAATGAGCAACTGATTAAGTGGTGCTATTGGAGACTCCTGGAGACTCTGAGAAGCGGGTGTTTGATCCTCTACCTCTGGCTGAGACAGGAAATGTGTTCCTTGTTTTTTGTCACTCTTCAACTCCATTAACTTTATTCAAAAAGCACTTCAAAAATGCAACCATAGTTGAACAAAGTGCTATTCATATAGACTATACAGAAATGATAAAACACAGTAACAATTACAAAAAAACAAAACAAAACACACAACTCTCCCAGTTCTCATGTTGGTCGCCAGCTCTTCAAAACTACTTGTTCTGGATTTTGAACAACTTATTGAATGTATTCAAGAAATGTGGTATATATAATGAATATGAGTCATTTGATAAAAAAAGTAGAAAGAATAATGATACATATATACAAACCGAAAGGTGTATCAATAGATAAGCATAGTACACAAAAGGGTAAAAGTATTTGATGAAATTTAGATTTCTTCTTTTTCTTTGGTATTGGAAATGATCAATATACATTATTGCTCAAAAAGGGGTAGGACTAGATAAGTGGTATACTTCTTCCTACTCCTTTGAACATATAACTGTGATGATGTTTGTATTACTTACTTTTACTTTTATTTTCCTTTCATAATTTTTGTTTGCATTTTGTCATGTTATTGTATGTTTTATATATGTTCACTAAACAAACAAACAAACAAACAAACAAAACTAACATAACTATGAAGTAATACTATGCATGGGTGATCTCGGTGTCTTCCCAGGTGGTGGTGGAGGCTGGAAAGACTCCCCCACTGCTCACCCCGTAGCCGGCAGGTCGCTCTCAGAGGGTGCTGGCGGGGGTGCAGCGTGCCTTTTGTCCCAGTCCAAACTGGATTGGTCCACCTACGGGGGATTCGGAGGGGGAGGTGGCGCCTGCACGGCCGGAGGAGGGGGAGGTGGCTACAGAGGTGAAAATATTGAATCACGATGACTTAGCGATAACGTTTCATTTCATATCTACGTAGTCATGTGTTGATCACAGATGGCCGTGAATGAAGTTGAATGCATTGTTGATGTTGTATAATGACATTGTATGTCTCCATACATTTGTCCAAATAGAGCAGGTTTTGAACCACCCTTGTACATCAATTCTGTGATAGGCGGCGACGCTGCTCTGAAGGATGACATCAAAGCAGATGGCCGTGATGGGATCTCCTTCATTAATCCAATTGGGGAGATTTACCTGCAGCCTCTAGCAGGTGAGCTCAACTCATTCCATCCCACCCATTTTCACCTGTTCAATTGCAATTTATAAACACGCAGCCCTACCAAAAGAAAGATGAGACGCTCCTCTTTAAACTGAAAAAAAAAGTTTGTTTCTATCTTTTTCCGTAGGTTTACGCGATATAATAAGGACAAATGAACAATAAAGACAAATGAACCATGAAGTAATATGAAAGCCAGTTGATTTATCTCCTTCAATTAAAGTACTGGTAGTGAACTTACTAAATACTTGCCGTCTTTTCAGCGTTCACTCTGACGACTTCGCAAAATTCTACCAAACAAGTGTGGCGGAAAAATGAGTCAATCTGTCATAAATCAGATCACAAGAATTATGCAAACAAAGTGGCGGCTTTCTCGCTGTTTCACGAAACGGTGATATGTAAATCCGTAGACGGCACTTCTGGAAGCACTGAATTTATTTAGGCACTATATAAATAAATTAATCAAGACGATCACACATACAATATACATATATGTAAAAGAAAATGAAGCCTACCGACTGATCGAGTTTTGTTGTTTTTTTTTTTTTCCAAACTGCAGTTGCTGCAATTTCAAAATTGGATTCTACTACTTTTGATGTCGTTTTGAAACCGATTAATTGTTTGACATGCACAGTAGTCTTAAACAGGGAGATTCCGCACCTAAAGTTGAGATCTAAAGAAGTCCTTAGGAAACAAAATACTCCAGTTGGCTCGATCACTCTTTTGCAGATGACCTTGACCTGTATGATTGAACATGTACATCTATACTGGCTTTAAATACAAAACTATTACCGTATTTTCCGCACTATAAGGCGCTTCAGAGTATAAGGCGCACCTTCAATGAATGGCTTATTTTAAAACTGTTTTTAATATATAGGGTGCACCGCCTTATAAGATGCACAAAATAGAAGCTACAATACTGTCTGCAGTTGCAATATGCGTCCACTAGATAGAGCTAGACTAAAGGAATACAATAATAAACAGCTTTATTTATATAGAGTCTTCACATCCGCTGCAGCTGTAAAAAAGCACGTTACAGAACATTTAAAATACTCTGTCCAAGAAATCAGAATATTCATCCATATATAAGGCACATCAGATTATAAAATGCACATCGGGCTTTTGAGAAAATTGAATGCTTTTAGGTGCGCCTTATATGGTGGAAAATACGGTAAATCCTGATCTCTGTTTGAGCATTCCACATAATTGATGCATTCTGTCATCTGTTTGTGTTCAAATATGCAACACCCTCATGTTTGGTCAATTTGTTTTAGCTTGTGGACCCAAGCCTTGTTTTTGTCTCCTTGAGACAACTTGCCATCTGACTCTGATTATGTCGTGGGTGGCACACTAATTCACAACCTCATGCAGCTAGTTGCCCTTCCTTCAGGACTTCAAATTACAGTCCACATGACATGAAAGTCATTAGGAGTATGATTTAAGGGAAAACAAAACCATAAAACAACCCTCAGTGATGTCAATGTCATCTACATCAAACGTATTACCGAGTGAAGATTTTTGTTTTGTGCATTTCCCCCAAGCCATGGAGAGTCACGGCGAGTGTGAAATCAAAGTGCAACTGAACTGCAGCCACTGTCAGTCGCAGAGCTGCAAGCGGGATAAAGACACACACCTCCTCCTCTGCCTGTGCCACGGCGACGAGGTTTTGGCCAGTGATAATGTCACCTGCGTTGATACAGCAGGTGAGGAAATACCTTCAAGTGTTGGTGACCGTGTCCAACATCGCTGGCTCTACTCCCCACGCAGTTGAGCTACCTCCTTATTATTTCCGTCCACTAAACACACAAGTCACCCTGCCTTTTTCATCTTGAAGCTCCTCCAGTCCCGCCTCCTCCGGGCCAGATGTCGGCCGCACTGATCCTGGCTGTGGTCACCTCCACCGTCGTCAGCGGCGTGGCGTTGATCTGCCTCGGCGTCATCCTCAGTAAGAGACTCGGGCAGTTTTGCGCTGGCGTGATGCCCGCCACCTTTCATCGTCTGTGAGGCGTCTGCGCACATCCATGGGAGCAAACCCACTCTTGAGCTAATTGTTGTTCATGGTGATCTCCTCCGCAAGTCATGAGAGGAAAAGGTGGCATTAGAAAGAGGGCATTGCGTTACCATGTGGAAATACAAATGCTCTTGATTCATGGACTGATACAGCGAGACCTGACTCCATTTAGGTGACGGCCACTTGTTCATTCCGTTTTGAAAGCAAACACACACAGAGCAGCGGTAAATGGCATGTGTGTTCTAAAACCGACAACAAAGGTTTGGCATTTGGATTGAGAGTTTCCAAGCTTGGGATGTGCCGCTGATCGTGGTTCACAGAAGAGGAGGGAAAAACATTTTCTATTGTCTTCGTTACAATGCACAAAGTGACAGTTTCTGGATTTTATGCACCCATGGGCATTGATGTTTTGTTACATGTGTAGATCAGAACCATTTGCAAAAAGCCACTTGTAACTAACTAGAGTCCCACATGCTCTAAGATATTTTACTTATTATTCTTGCTATCATTAAAATTCCTAAAATAGGAATATACTGTGTACGGAATTAACATCATGTCTGTCCTGTTAAATTCTTTTGTCAGGAGTGAGATGTCAGAATCAATATATAACACTGCTAATACATCTAATGAGGCATTATTATTATTATTATTAGGATTATTACTGTACTACGCTGCCATGCTGTTAATTTATATGTTCGCCGCGAGATCATATTTACCACTTTTGTAGTTCATATCCAGCACCAACCTCGATGAACAGTGTAGGTGTACATAGATGTATGAAGCTGCGTAAGACAGTGAGTGGATTCCACTCTTTGTTTGAAATACAGCTGGGAAGAATAAATGAGATTTTCTTTGTTTGAAGAGTGTCTGGAAAGTGATGTATCCCCTCACCTTCAACATAATTTCGGGGGCCAAGATGCTGTATATTAGAGATGACCAGAGATGGACACTTTATCCTGTTTTGCCGGTCCGTCCTCCGTCCGCGACCTTAGTACCCTTTCGTCATCGTCTCCATCCTTATTCATATAATAATCTTCCTCTGACCGCGTCCGTTCTCTTCCTTTTAAAGTGCTTCCATCCCAGCCCCGCCCCCACCTGAAAAAAAAAAAAGAGGCATGAAAGAGTGGGCAATTAATACCCTACAGATGAGACAGCACTGACCTTGCTCCATACATTTGCGTAGCACTGCTGATCCCATCTTGATGACGTCGACAGATGCCGAAGCACGCTGAATCATTGCAATCTGTTACTCGTGCAAACCGTCAACATCATAAAACCTTTATTAACGCGAGAGGAAATGTTCCCAAACACATCCTACATACAATGGTAGCTTTCCCCTCTGCTCACAGCATACTGTGTAATCGTGTGACATTGAATACACGTACACAAAGAAAGACAACATTTATTGTCTGCTTGTGTAATCAAATAGAATTTTGTTTTCAATGAAGAAGTGAAAGGAAAGCAAAGCTCCACAGGTTAATGGTGTCTCTTCACCTGAGCTTTCACCCATGCAGGGAGGTAGTCTGTTCCCTGACCCGCCCCGCTCCCCCCACCCCAATGTCCTCCACTTCAACCCCAACCTCCTCCTCACAATCCTCCTCCTCCTCCACCCCTCTCCTACCTCCATCTCTACCATCCCTTCCTCATCCCCCTCCCTCGAGACCCTCGCATCTGCACCGGGCGCTGGCTCGACGGCACCTCTTACCTGCACGCAACGCCCCCCCTCCCTGGCAGACTACCAACCTGCATCGGGGCCGCGGCGGGTGAGTCTCAGCTCACTGGTATAGTCGAGGATTTGTAGATATGGAGGAGCACCCGTATATGCGCCCCTTACATATAATGTGGAACGCGGCAATACAGTGTTCCCCCAGCTGTATTCGCTATTAATGTGTGTAAGAAATGTGTTTGAATACGTTTAAATGTGTTTCAAGCCAGCGTAAGGTGTAAAAGGTCATTAAGAAAAGAGGTCCCTGAGGCGGTGGGTCTGGAACGCAAAAAGCATGTGTTCACTGTATTTGCATTGGAATGTTTTCAAGGGTTGCTTGTGTTACCGCTTCCTTATCCATGCAAGGGAACTGATACTTTTCTCGACTATAAACACATTTTAAGTATCGTTCTTCTTCTCTGTAATTGTCCCCAAGTGTGGCATCGCTGGAAAAACGATCTGCAAGCAGTGAGGGGCCACCTGCAGAGCCCCGAGTACAAATTGAGTAAGATCCGCACCTCCACCATCATGACGGACTACAACCCCAACTACTGCTTTGCCGGGAAGGCCTCGGCGCTCAGTGAGCTGAAGGAAGTACCGCGCAAAAACATCACGCTGCTCAGGTATAACTCCGCTGCAAACGTTCCACCAAACACAGGTGTTTTAAGACTTTTAGTGAGACTTCGGCACCCTTATTTTAATCACGAAAACAAAAATTGTAGAAAGGATGGCTCATCAAGGTACATCAGTGAAAAAGAAACTGTGGAGAGCTTTTTTTTTTTTTCTGTGTGTGTGTGTCCATTAGTTTTAGTAAGCAGGCTACTTTCTGGTTTGTGGAAGGCCTTATAGATGGACTGGTAGCAACATTTTAATTTTGGACAGGCACTTAGGAGTTGAATGTACAGTATTTCTCTCTCTCTCTCTCTCTCTCTCTCTCTCTCTCTCTCTCTCTCTCTCTCTCTCTCTCTCTCTCTGTCTCTCTCTCTTGAGTGTTCAATTCACCTATTATGCATGTTTAGTTGGCTCGCAGTATTGAGTATATGATTGGCTGGCAACCAGTTCAGGGTGTCCCCCCGTCTCCAGCCCGAAGACAGCTGGGATAGGTTCCAGCACACCACATGACCCTTGTGAGGATAAGTGGATCAGATAATGGATGGATGGATATTGAGTATATGGCAATTTACGATATCTGTCATTCCAATTACTCTGCCCGCACTTTTATGTAGATCGGCACCAAAAGTGAGAACTGTATTTTCCTCACGATAAAGCGCTTTGGAGTGGAAGGCACTCCTTCAATGAATGGCCTATTTTAAAACTGTTTTCAAATATAGGGCACACCGCATTGTAAGGCGCATAGAATAGAAGCTACAACAGTGGCTGCGGTTGCGTTATGCATCCACTAGATGGAGCTATGCTAAAGGGAAAACAATACAATACAGCTTTATTTCGATGGAGCTTTCACAACCGCTGCAGCTGAAAAAAAGCGCTTTACAGAACATCTAAAATACTTCATCCAAGAAATCCGAATATTAATCCATATATAAGGCGCATCGGATTATAAGGTGCACTGTCGGCTTTTGAGAAAATGAAATGCTTTTAGGTGTGACTTATCGTGCCGAAAATACGGTAAATACCACATTTTACAATCCCTCCTACCATCTCTGAATGTCCACTTTGTGCTTATTTTTTGTGCTTTGTGCTTGCAGAGCTCTTGGCCACGGCGCCTTCGGTGAGGTGTATGAGGGTCAGGTCCTCGGAATGAATGCAGATAATGGCCCCATGCAGGTGGCCATAAAGGTCAGCGACCATTCACAATGTGCACCTAAACACTAGATGACAGCTCATCAGCGGGAGTGATATTCATTACACATAATCCACTCTGCAAGGGTGTTCCTGCTCATGCAAAGGTCACACGTGCGGAGGAGACACATTGAAGTGATGCATTTCATTTCATGAAACTCACCTGTAGATGTTTTTTTTTTCCTCCTCTGCAGACTCTTCCAGAAATCTGCTCAGAACAGGATGAAATGGATTTCCTTATGGAGGCACTGATTATGAGGTACACATCCTGCGTCAGCATAATCATACAAAGTGCACTCTGAAAAATGAATCATGGCATTGTTAAGTATTTTCATCAATTTAATTTCATTTTAATATTAAATTTTTTTCAGATGTATTTATTTAGATTTCTTCAAATCAACATAAATCAGCACATTTCAATACTAACGAAGGTGAATCAATTAAAACGTATGAAGAGAGTATAAATATGGAAGGCTGTGGATTAACCAAGATTCATTTAGTTAAAATTTATGAAATTACTTTCCATTAGGTTTACATAAATATTTCAGTGTGTCTACACTCCATATTTCCAGTAGATAGCAGTAATGCAACCTGTGTGTCAATAACATTTACAATTGACAAGAAGACATTCCCAGCATGCCTAGCAGCATTTGTACATGGATACAGGCTGTGTCCAAATTCACAGGCTGTATCCTCCCAAGGCCACATTTTCGGCTTCATTTTTTCGGCCGCATGACATGACTTTCGGCACAACTCGACCGCACGTGTTTTCCAAATTCGAGGAACACAATTCACACGCTGGTTCCTTCCACGCCTGCAAAGGCTTAACAAGAATTTGGACACCACGTGCGGTCGAGTCGCGCCGGAAGTGATGTCATCCGGTCGAAAATGCATCTTTTGTGTGGGCCCTACCACCCTGTGAATTAGTACACAGCGATAGTCTTCTAGCAGCTTGTTGTGTAATAATAGTTGTGTGTGTTTTAAGTATTTCATGTGCATAATTTTGTGACACACAGATTTTTGCTGTTTACTTTAATGACTCCTCTGATCATTAACCTTTCATATGTAAATTGTGAGGGATCCATTAGCAACTATTGACATATGGAAAGAGTTCTGTCTTTAAGTATACCAAGGCAATCCTGACGTTTTGCATGACAAATTTTTGCTGCAATAAAATAGTGTAAGCCAAAAGTAATAAAATGTCGCTTTGAAATGCATTGGTTTTAGATATCTCCAAAAATGAATACTACTGCTCTATTAAATATCAAACTTATTAAAAAATAACCGTACCATCTGATGGTACACTGTCCTGTTATGCGATCGCCGCTGTGGACTGATGACTGAGATTCATAAATCATGTCCAGGGATCCTTATTTTACGACAGTGGTGACATACGCTGCTCGAACCAGTTCACGAAGCCGCGCTGGAATATGTGGCACAAGAAGTCAAGCCCAGTTATTGCCCTACTTACCTCTTTTATATCTATGACCTGCAAGTGTTTTTCTTCCAGATATTTACCGTATTATGACTTTACGGCTGCACTAGTTTACGACACATTCCGACTCCAAATTGAATATGTGCGTGTTCACTGTATCACGAAAACATCTAAGAGGGATCCAGCTATTTTTCTCTCTCCAGATCAAGCAATTTGTCCCCTCTCCAAGCTTCTGTCACACATTTCTAAGCACATGCTTCTGCTTTACATCACAGCATTTGTCCTTATTTGGCCTCATCATTTATTTTACAGCTACACGTCGTGTTTTTATTCTTCATACACGTCCATCATTCCGGCTATAGTCCAACGTCAACATGAACTCCCTCTAGGGCTATTTCATGTTCGCAGGCGCTCGCCCTTAATCGTATTTCTGTGCATAGTGGGAGCTTTGCTAATGTGAGCGTGACTTATTATCTTCTGCGCGACGTCTTCTGGATAATGACTTCCTCGTCCGCTGCTGCGCTCAGCTTTGCTGCCATCTACCAAACGACATAAAGATTGGGTCTTAATACTCCTCCTGTCAGTGCTCCAGCTGCCTCGTGGGAGCTTTGATAATATACATGCACATGTTGTACATTCACTCCAGGTAGTCACGCAGTCTATTCTCAAAGACTTTTTGGCAGACAGAGCTCATTTTCCTTCATCGGGCAATTCTGTTTCGCATTTTTGGAATCATTTTTTTGAAATCCCTCTGTGATATAAAGTATGTGATTCAATTTATGAATGTGCAGTATGTCTGAAAAATGTTTCAGCGGCAGTATTTTTCATCAACGTGAGGTGGAGGGGCAGTGCATGTGAATGCTGTTGTGAGTGAAAGTGCATGCGTTTGTGTCTGAGGGGAAAGTACACAACGCTACACAGAAAGGCTGACAGGTTGAATATGAAATATTTAACAGTCAGGACGTCATTGCTGTCAGCACAGTTGGCAAATGTGCTCCCACTCTGAACTGAAGTAAAAATGCAGATACTGGTGTAAAAAATTAGAAACACTACTACTTACCTAGAATTACTCACCGCAAATCTTTCGCACAAGTAATAAATACATTAATAGCTAAAAGTAAAAGTAGAGAATGAATCATATGTCAATGTAATGGAATAAAAGTACCATTTCTTCTACACTCTCACACACACACACACACACACACACACACACACACATACAGAAATGTGCAGTGCTGGGAACAGCAAGGATACTGCGCAGAACCCTCAAGCTTCCTGGCCTCTGGTAGAGGACCCGAGCTGAATGAGGGATGGACACCACCCGAGGGGGGTGAGACGAGGATTTTTTTTTTTTTTTTAATATATATTCACGTAAATGTAAAAAAAATACAGTATATTGCATCAAAATTACTCTGACAAGTACAATTTATCCCCAAATTTGCTTTCGTAAATGTGACAGAGTAAATGTGGTGCCTCTGGAGGCATGAAACCTCAATCTAAAGCAGATATACACCGAAAAGAAATAGTGGACATTTTCACTAGACAGACAGACAGATATTGTGGCTTTGTGTGAATGAACGTTTTAGCACACAGTGCAGTGGGAAAAGTGGACAGACATGTGAATGCCTCCAAAACATCGTGTGAGTGTCAAAATGATCCCTTGTGAGAGAAGCCTTCCTCTCACCTCTCAATCGGTCGAAAGTTGCTGCTTCTTGTCTCGAAGCGCTGAAATCATCCGCTCTGCGGATCACAGAGATCCAACGGAAAACCTGACTAGCCTATAAATGATTCAACTTGGTTCTGTTTTGTTTCTTATTCTTCTTTCATCTGGTTGCAGCTTTTGTGGTTATTCTCAAAATGGCCATGAACTTTTGTCTTGTTTTATTCATTAGGTTTTTTTTTTTCCTGAGATGCGAGACATGGAAGAAAGACGGTGTTTTCCTTTTCTGAATTGAGCAGCTTTTCTCAGACTGGGTTTGAAAGCAACATTATCTAAAAATGGATTTTTAAAAGAACGGTTTCAAAATTGTTGTGGTGAAACGCCGCCTTGGCATAAGGAGGATATACTGGATCTTATGTCATTTATATCTTTGCCTTTCACCTTGGGTTAACTTCTTGAAGCAGATCATCTTGGATGGTCATATTCACAGTTATGGACAGATTACCGTCTTCATTGCAGCAGTAGATAAACTCCACATCGGACGGACTTAGCAGAGATTCAAACCTCTGAAGCACTACTTCTGCCTTCAGCCACTGTTTGAAGAAATAATGAATCTGTGTGACACTGTTTGCCCGCAGCAAGTTCAACCACAAGAATATTGTACACTGCATCGGTGTCAGTCTCAACATCTTGCCACGTTTCATTCTGCTGGAACTCATGACCGGAGGAGACATGAAGAGCTTCCTGAGGCAGAACAGGCCTCAACACGTATGTCACCTCACCCACGCCTCATTTTAGATGCAGTGCACAATTTTTGACGAGAGCCTTTTGGCTTTCAGGGCCAAACTCCTTCTCTCAGCATGCACGAGCTGCTGCAGATGGCCAGGGACATTGCATGTGGTTGCCGCTACTTGGAAGAGAATCACTTCATACACAGGTACCGGTACTGACAAAGTACACAACCACCTCGAAGCCACACAACAATTATTTACATTTGCATGCTGTTCAGGTCAAGTTTGACCCGTTTGGAAATTTGACAGCAACAACATCACCCTAACGGCCTATTTCAAGTACAGTCTAACTGTCCGTATGGGTGGTGTTTCCATAGACAGGCACAGATAAGAAAGTGGCGAAGCGCTGTTGTGGGAGTGAACACAGCCGACTTACTTCCTGGCCAATGACAGCAGCTGCACTCGTTCCCTTGAAATTCAGCACCGGAGAGGCATGCACATAGTCAGGCAGAAATACACACAGACACGTTCAATGCGGGTGGAAGGCCGCACTGCTGCATCAGCTTGAGTTGATCTGCGAAAATACCAAAGCTTAGTCTGGGCCGCCCCCGTACAGATTTGTTCCATGCCTCATGCCAGACTTGCACTGAAAGTTGTTTGCAATATTCTATGACAACTTACTGAGTGTGTTTTCATTAAAATGTTCATATAGAGATATTGCAGCCAGACTTGCACTGAAAGTTGTTTGCAATATTCTAGGACAACTTACTGAGTGTGTTTTCATTAATATGTTCATATAGAGATATTGCAGCTAGAAATTGCCTTCTTACGTGCCCTGGACCGGAAAGGGTGGCCAAGATCGGAGACTTTGGCATGGCCAGGGACATTTACAGGTTTGTACGCTAATGTGCTAATGCAATATCCCACCTCACTGTCAAAAACGTTGTAATCTTACAAGAAAAAAACTAATCATTTAAACAGACGTGTGATAATTTGGGGAAAATTGATAAAATTATTAGACCACCTTGTTTTTTTAATGTTATTTTTTGGTTACTTTAATGCCTAGTACGAGTAAAAGTGTACTATGTGACTAACTGGCACAAATACTGCTACAAATCACTGTTTTTGCCAATACAGTGCCATAGATATTGATGTATGAAAGGGGTCACCAACGTTTTTGAAAGTGAGAGCTACTTCAGAATATTTTATCTTTGTGAAGATACTGGTCATGATAATTATCACATTTAACATGGTGGAGACCTGGTAAAGAACAATATGCAAGACTTTGTTTCTGCAAACGTCTGCAAAAATTAACATTGTCAAATGATCACTTCACTGGTGAGCTATTTTTAGAGCTACTCATATGATCCTTGGAGGCAGTACATCGGTGACCCCTCATGTAAAAATGTGAGTGATTTTGGTCACTACAGCACTTACATTTAACTCTTATGAGCTATTTTTGTTGTGATTCTATTTGTCAGAACAAATGTATTGTACCTTTAGTTGTATTTGGCATGGCCAGGGACATTTACAGGTTTGTACGCTAATGTGCTAATGCAATATCCCACCTCACTGTCAAAAACGTTGTAATCTTACAAGAAAAAAACTAATCATTTAAACAGACGTGTGATAATTTGGGGAAAATTGATAAAATTATTAGACCACCTTGTTTTTTAATGTTATTTTTTGGTTACTTTAATGCCTAGTACGAGTAAAAGTGTACTATGTAACTAACTGGCACAAATACTGCTACAAATCACTGTTTTTGCCAATACAGTGCCATAGATATTGATGTATGAAAGGGGTCACCAACGTTTTTGAAAGTGAGAGCTACTTCAGAATATTTTATCTTTGTGAAGATACTGGTCATGATAATTATCACATTTAACATGGTGGAGACCTGGTAAAGAACAATATGCAAGACTTTGTTTCTGCAAACGTCTGCAAAAATTAACATTGTCAAATGATCACTTCACTGGTGAGCTATTTTTAGAGCTACTCATATGATCCTTGGAGGCAGTACATCGGTGACCCCTCATGTAAAAATGTGAGTGATTTTGGTCACTACAGCACTTACATTTAACTCTTATGAGCTATTTTTGTTGTGATTCTATTTGTCAGAACAAATGTATTGTACCTTTAGTTGTACCAGACAATGAACAATTGAAAATGAACAAAAAAAATGAAGAAACAAACTTGGTCTCAACATTTTTTCCATGACTATGTATAGTAGGCCTTGAAAGAAAGTGCGCTCATCTCAGAGTGTTGAGTTGGTTGTGTGAGGAAATTGATATTCACGCCAATACATGTGTGGTTACGGACTTCTTTTTTTGCATTTTCCCCCTCAACTTGAGTGAATTGAAACCACATGAGAGGAAATGTCCTTTGATTTGCCACCTGTGGAAACACACCAAATTCACACTAAGTTTTGTAAACATAGCAGGCTAAAAGTCATGAAACATGGAAAATTATCATGTCACATGGTAAATCTACCGGGCTTCTAGATTTGTAATGAAATACAAAAGTCACTCATACGATTTCAACTTTCCCTCCTTCTCTTGTCAATTTCCCCTGAGGGATTAGAATCATAATAAATAAATAAAGCAAAGCCGGTTGACTTTGTTTTTTTTTTCTCGGTCCTTTTTAATTAATTTCTATTGACTTGCCATTCATGATTTCTTATTTTTGGTGTTTAGAGCCAGCTACTACAGGAAAGGTGGTCGTGCCATGCTCCCGGTCAAGTGGATGCCCCCTGAGGCTTTCATGGAGGGAATCTTCACCTGCAAGACTGATACATGGTGAAAACCCACCCTCATAATATACTGTATTATACACTCACTGGACACAACATTAGGTACCCAAGCACAAACATGTGAGACTATATAAAGGAAAAATGGTGGACTACATTGTAGTTGGATTTAACAAAGACAATATTTTTACTTTTGAAAGATTTGCATTGGTATAGAAGTGCTCTCCATCACAATGAGAGGTGCTTTTAATATGGTGGTTGGAGTTTCGCTTTCTCACCAATGTTTGAAAAGCCTGAGTCAGAGAATTTATTACAATGTCCTTGCTTTAGACCTCATTAATGTTCAGCCATCGCCATTTGTCAATGCGTCCCTCTGAGGCAGGTGTCATATTCATGAATGCCGTATGTTCACTTTAACGTCAACTTTGAGGTTTGGCGTTCAATCAAAAACATCCAATAAACTCATTTTACACACCCACAAATAAAAAGAAAAAAGGGTGAATTCCTATGGGAAAACATAGTAATGAACATAAACCAGATGTTGCTTCATAAAGTAAAATCCTCCTCATCGTGAAATCAAATGTCTGACATCTTCCAGTAAATGACATCATAATGACCAAAGCCTCTTGAGGAACGGGGCAAGTGTTGCTGGAGAGGGGGGGGACACGATGAAGAACAGCAACCACATGGACATAACTGTCAGGGTGTGAATGCAATTGAACAAGCCAGACATAAAGCAGGGGCTAAATCAGGGGTATCCAACTCTGGTCCTCGAAGGCTCCTGTCCAGCATCTTTTAGATATCTGCTCTCTCCAGCACACCTGATTCAAACCATCAACTCTGCAGAGGCATGATAACAATTTTGATCATTTGAATCGGGTGTGTTGGAGGAGGGAGACATCTAAAACATTTTGGATAGGGGCAACAAATAAATGTAAAACTACTCTTGTTTTGGATCTCATTCGACTGCTTTTATAAATTGCGGATTGTTCATGGCATCAATACTCATGCGTGAATGAACAAAGCAACAAATGCAGAGCTGCTCGGGGTATTTTTATTTATTTTTTTGCTATGTGACTCAGCCCTCACATGATTGTCACAATAAATGAGCGCAGTATGACGCTATTATTCAACATTCACTCCATGTTGAGCTTGAATAGCCATCAGCGACATAGACTTTTATTTTGCAAGTCATTTCATTGAAGGGAAACCTTACAGAAAATCGGTTGCCTTTTTTTCCAGGTCTTCATGGAGTTTATGAAAATTATGCCACAAGCTTTGGTCAATATATTCCAAGTCTTATGGATTATAGTACACTTAACACAAAATGAGTTTTACACCTGTGGTCTGGAATAACTAAAGACAATCAAAGCATTATTACTCATGGAGGAGGCACTTTCTGCTTACTTTTGACTTTGAAATGATTGCTGAGGTGTTTGACATTGTATTGTTGAACCACTGCTTCAAAGTGTCTCTACGTCTTCACCCTGCTTAGTTGACCCTGTCGCAGGAGGAGAAACTCAGTTTGGGGTGGTTATTATCAGGTAGAGTGCAGAAGAGCTTGCTCACAGTAACAGAAATACTGTCGTCAGATAACAAAAGACTTACTTGGTTGTTTCATTTCACACTTGATGAGTGACCGGGCACTCCAGAGACCCAACTATATATAAACAAACAATTAAAAAGCAAATTTTCCAAAACATATATCCATCCATCCATTTTCTGACCCGCTTATCCTCACAAAGGTCGCGTGGCGTGATGGAGCCTATCCCAACTGACTTAGGGAAGGTCGTATGGTGTTCCACAGGGTTCAATTTTGGGCCCCTGCTATTTTCATTAATTGCTGCCCCTGGCTTCCACCTGAAGAAAGCATCATCAAGAAAGATTCTTATATTTGTGAACTCGGCATGAGACTCGGCCTTGTTTCGGGTTTTTTTTGTGTGTGTTTACTGTAATTAATTAATTTATTATTTTAATTGTCAGATGGTTCTGTTCATGTACAGCACGTTGTATGCATGCTCAATCATAGATTTGTGTCTCCTCCCACAGGTCGTTTGGAGTACTGCTGTGGGAGATCCTCTCTCTAGGCTACATGCCATACCCATGTAAAACAAACCAGGAGGTGCTGGAATTTGTCACCAGTGGAGGTCGGATGGACCCCCCAGAGGGTTGCCCGGGCCCTGTGTGAGTGCTCACAACACAGCAAATTGGCTAAGTAGAGAACTTTTAAATCCCAATCAAGCCAAACAATTCATAGTCGTGTATGTGTTTAGTTATCGGATCATGACCCAGTGCTGGCAGCATTGTCCTGAACATCGGCCGAACTTCTCCACGATACTTGAGAGAATCAACTACTGCACTCAGGTACACTTTATATCACTTCATTCGGTACACCTGCCCATGCTGATCAGATCCAATTCAAGAGTTGTGTGAAGCATTCTATTAATGCCCATTGTACAATTTATTGGCATTGTGGTGGTGGAGAAGAACTGTATGCTACTGAAGGCTGTGTTTAATATTTCGGTATTAGATTACATGTGAGTTGAAATATTAGGCAACAGTCTGTGTGGTTCAGTGCAGTTGTACACCAGTGCAAATTACAATAATAAGCAAACTGTCACATTAAATTAATATTTCCCTGACTGTGTCAAACAAATGTGTGCATGATTATTTTTACAAAGAAAGAGTGTTTGATTAATCTCTTAGACTGAATTTGATAGTGTAATTGGTTCTTTTAATATTTTCACCACCCTCAGGGCTTCTCTTTGTTTTCAGTTTGGTTGTCAATAGCTGTGTTTCATATTGGAATTTTCTTGAGTTTCATTTATGTACTAATTCAATAATTTGCACATAATACTCTTTCATTACTTCAAATGGTGAATATTACATTTTACATAACACATTTTTTTATATAGGTAGGAGTTGGCGATCTGAGAGCAAATGTTTCTGTGTATAACAGTATGGGTTTCACCTTTTCAATATACCAACTGAAATATATATTTTTATGATATTCACACAATAAAGTGCTCCACTTTTACTAATGTTAAAATTTCCTGGGATTCTGGTTCCAGTAGATAGTCTTGTTTTTTGGGCTTATCTGAAACATTTCCGTAGGGGACAATAAAGCTCCTATTAGACTGTGTAAACCAGGAGTGTCATTTGCGTCACGGGCCACATCGTAGTCATGGCTTCCCCTCAGAGGGCTTTTGCAACTGCATTTGGTTATGATTACAAATTGTTAACAATGATTTGATTTTAAAAAGTTCACGAACTATCATCCACTTTATGATGAAGTAGGATTTGTTTTTTTGCAAGAAACATCAAGTAGATGCACTTTATTTGCTTTTGTGGGCCACAGAAAATGATGTGGCGGACCAGATGGAGTTTGATGGTTTAAGCGGTCAGTATGTTGTGGCCAGTTGGTATGGAGCATTTCTATGGGATGTACCTAATGAAAAACGGTCCTTTCATCTTTCTCGTTTGATCTCACTTGTCACATCAGGATCCGGAGGTGATCAACACACCTCTGCCAGTGGAATATCGGCCCACCACCGACGATGACAGCGCCGCAGTGATTCGGCCCTCCGACCGCACACCCACCAGCTTCGCTCCTCTCCTCTCCTTGACCTCCTCCTCCTCCTTGAGCCTGGCGCCCTCGCCTCTGTTCCCTCAGCCCGCCAAACCTCGCTTTCTCCAAAACGAGACGATGCCATGCCGCGAGGTGCTCCCGGATCCCTCCTGGGCTGAGGCGGCCCCGGCGGCCAACGCGTGCACGGGTGTCCTTGTGCTGCACCCCGAGCCTCCCTTGCGCCAACCTTGCTCCACAAACAAGTCTCGTTCGGGGAGCCAACGGCTGAAAAACAAAACCAAGAATTTGTGGAACCCAACGTATGGCTCTTGGGTCTTGGAAAGCTTCAAGGGCAAGAAGACCTTGGCTCACACTCAGTCTGTGCCCATCTCAAGTCCTCCTTCCTGCAACGCAGCCGCTCAGTCCTCCTCAGAGTTCAACCGAGCAGGCTACTCCAATTGCTCCCACATTAAACCTGCCGCTCTCTGTATTTCTGCGTCCCCTTCTTGCCAGCCTCAAACCGTGCTTAGCGTGCCCCACAATAAGAGCCAAAGCAGCAGCACCCCCGCTAAGGGGGGCATTGACCTAGCCAAGCTGCAGAGTTTCCCCTGCGGAAACGTCAATTATGCCTACGACGAGCAAAGCTATGAAGCAGAGAGCATGCCCTTGGTGGTCCAGACCAAAGCTCCAGAATCTCTCAAAAACACCAACTCTGCCCCCAGCATGTCCTCTGGGCTGGGCCTGGGGCTAACTCTGGGCCTCTACACGTCCTCCTCCTCGTCCACTTCCTCTTTCTTCATGCCCAAGCTGCTGCTCAAGCGCCACGCCAGCTACGGGCACGAGGACGTGAAGAGACACACCAAAGCTGAGAAGCCCTCACGAGACCGAGACTCCGGCTTCTCTCTGTCTGAGGATCTGAGCGTCACACCAATCTGAGAGTCAACATAGCAGGTTTTCTTTAGAAACAAAATGAGACCATGATAACTCCTTACAAAACGTTTTGTTTTTAATAATGTGAAAATGTTACTTGTATATGCTGTTTACAGTGAACCAACACTTACTATATTTGCCTGTTCATAGATTTTTCTTGAAGCGAGGACCTATCCTCCGTTATTTGCTCTAAATAATTCAGACTGATTCAAGAAAACTCACATTTTTTGTTTGCTGTTTTTGCTTTGGTCAAAGGGGTCAACAACCTTTTTCCCTATCAGCGGCCATTTCAATTCTCAGATGTCAGTCTCAAAGGGTCACACTAAATTGAAGACAAAAAAATGCATCCATGACAAGTACGCTAGTGGTTAACACATCTGCTTCACTGTTCTGAGGTGCATCCATGAACAGTACAAGTGGAATACAAAATGGATGAATGGATGCATTGTGCAGTTCATATAAAAACTTGTGAGGATAAGCGGATTTGTGGATGGATGGATGTAATATACAGGGTCAGGCAAAATGATCTGACACATTTGTAAGTTAAATAAAAGGCAAATAAAGTAAAGAAACAAAAATGACATAAAACAGAATGGCATTATATGTACTTTTTGAAAATAAAAACACTTTCTTTCTTTAGCTTATTTGCCTTTTATTTAACCTACAAATCTGTCAGATCATTTTGCCTGACCCTGTATTATGTATTTAGTAACACTTATGAGTTAAGGGGTAGGTTCAGCATCCGGTAGAATTCTTTTCTGAAACGTGACTATAAATTACAACCTATGGCAAAATCCGTACTGCGCAAGCTTTTATAAATTAGACTTAAAAAAAAAAAATGAACTCAAAGACCTGATGTGCTGAAAACAAACGTAAACACATTTTAAAAACAGAGTCAAAAATACATTTAGAGGTGCATTCAGCCATTTCTGACTGACTTTCTATATCCACTGTGCCAGCCAGGTAGTAAATGATGAGCTCATGTAGTGGTTCTGATGATGACAATGCTGGAAGGAGACTCCTCTGCATTGGGATTCAGAGAGCAGGAGTCTTTCATTTCTTCCTTTCTATTTTTATTTTTTTTTCAACCTGTCCCGTTTGGCTGCTTGGTTACGCAGTGCGGTGGATATGTACAGTGTATGCCTTTTTGATATTTGAACAGTTTTACTGAGCAACTGGGGACTTTAATATACAAGTACTCCCCCTGTTGTTTGGAGCAAGATGGATGTTTACTGGACATTCATTTGAATGTTTGAAAGGGGTCAGACAAAGAGAAAAGAGAACGGAGCAAAAGCAACATAGGACAATATCAGTATAACAGCAAGTTGACCTTATTGTGTTTATTCTGGTCACATTGTCTCCAAAATGCTGAAATATTTTCAACTTTTTTTTTTTTCTTTTTTTTTGTCTCCGGGAAGCTTTGGCACTTACAACTGTGACCAGTGGTTTGGATGTTGGAGTGTCCAATATAAGAACCTCAGAGCATTTTGCTTTGTTGGAATTTTGAATCGACAAAAACAGAAAAATTCAGGTTTCACAGAAGACTTTTTGGGACTTGTTCTGAAGGAATAATGTGAAAAATACCCGATTTTATAGTTTCTGCAATAACATGTATTTTTCTATACAGAGATGGTTTTGAAAGAAGAAAGAAAGCGTGCCTCATTTTTGGCAATGTTGTCCAGGCGACGACTTAATGATGACGATGTAGCGGTTTGTACACCATGTAGCGCTTTTCTTGCTGGCTTTTAAATTTTAACTCACGTGGGCTTGGCCCACGGGCCACATACGGCCAACTTTTATGGTACCTTGACCTATGAGTTCAATTCACTCGAAGCTTGCTCGTACCTCAAATTTATTTGTTAGCGAAACATTTCGGAGTAGACTCATAAGTAGAGGTGCAGCAATTGGTTAATCGACAATTGTTTTTGACAATTGAGCAATCGCTTTGAGACTTTGTTTAACCAGAAATTTTCCAAATTGTTGGAATTTTACCCTTTCAACAGTAAATATTCTCATATTTCTGTCGTCTCTTTTTGATTATCTTTGTGTTTTAATCAAAATATGACATTTGCAAACATTTACTTTGTAAAATAATATCATTTTTTTGTCTATTTCCTGACATGTTATGGACCAAACCAATAACTAAATCATAATCAGTTTGTTTGCACATTTTCTGCACTGTCAATTTGAAATAACATTCTGATTTTAAATACAGGGAAGAAAAAAAAATAACTTCAATCAATTAATCAATTGCAGTCCTACTCCTACGTCAGGGTGCCACCAGTTTTTGCCGAAAATTGGTAGTAAACATGTATTTCTTCATTTTGTGTTCTTTGATCTCAATAAATAATCTGTTGTAAATAATCATTTGTATTCACTAATTAGTTGATTAAGTATAATTAAATTCATTCTGAATAATAAAAACTTGATAATGATAATTAATTTACCAGTATTAATATCAATTATTTTACACATTTCCACTTCAGTGGGTTTTTTTTCTCACACATTTGCGTGTGTGTGCGTGCATTTGTATATATATATATATATATACACACACACACACACACAATTTTTTTTTTTTTTTTTTAAACACAAGTCTGTTCAAATTGCTGGACTAAACCCGATGAGCTCCTTTTGGGAGTCCAGGAGCTAAGCTAAGATAGTTAGCCGAGCTAAGCTAATGACTACAAGAAAGTATAAATATTTGACATAATGCTGATATTCCACTTGAAGGAAAGATATGTTTTTGTGCTCATTTATGTTCACTCGGTGTAGCATGTAGTTATGAAGTTGTTTTAGCTTTTAGCATATTTACTCAAAACAGAAGATGACAGCTGTGAAGTATTGGATGATTTTTATACTGAACTCGATACAATGGACTAACATTTTAATTTGATTTAAACTTCTCATAAATGCATACTGTATATATTGCACTTTTATTTGAAGTCAATCACTGCCATTGGATATTACGACAAGAGTTGTAGTAGCCACGTTTACTCAGCAGAGGGAGTTATACAGCTGTGACATGGACAATGAGCTGCTCCATTCGTGTGCGTGTGTCCTTTCTCGCACAACATATGTTGAATATGAGTATTCTTGTGAATTGTTCCTCAGCAATCAATAATAATCTGCACCTATAAGTGTCTGTATTTTTACAAAATGGGTTATATGTATACAGGTTGTACTTTTTGTCTGCTTTGAGACGCAAGTGTGTATTTGTTAAGTGGGGTATACACAAAAGGATATTTAATATGTGACAGACACCACACGACAAGTTAAAAAAAATCATTATGTTCCTGCTCTAGACTTTTAGGTGCATATTCTTCTGTTTGCGCTTAAGTCAATTAATTGCTTACCTGTCTTGCGGCCGTTCTCCCATTTAGGCTTCTGAAACATCCACTATACGTAAACTGTGAATCCCATTGCATTCACCAAAGAAATTTAATTCTGAGGATTCCTGCAAGTCTCGGATTATGGAGTTTTCCTTTGACATGAATTTCACAGAGCTCCATTTGGAAAACACTTTAAATGTGAAATTAACTCGCGTAGTAGATGTTTATCATGATTCCTAACCTTTATTGAGCCATGGCAGATATTTTAAGTTTGTAATTTCACACCTTTTGACATCTGATAGATCATTTATTTGTTCTTTCTGTCATAAACGTTGTCGGCATAGATAGTGGGACAAATACACATTATTTGTTATTGCTGAACAATTTTGGTAGAAATGGGAGTTGTCCCAGATGTCTTGCAAACTAAAAGTGATGAGGGCAACCAAATATCGAAATTGAAACTAAACCTTGATTTAGACCTATATTCAATTTAAAGACGAGGTTACCATTGTTTAGCCCACTCCAGTTCTCAGTGATTCACTTAGTAGAAAAGTACCCTATATGAAAAGGAAGAAATGTTCCCTTACTTGATAATGATATGGCGGTTGCAAACTATTGTCATTTTAATTGTGAATGACTTTTTCGACACCTTACAAACTCAACACAACCAATTGTTTAAATAGTGAGCTTTCTAACTGGCTATTGTTCGTTCCGTTTCAGGGCACAATATACGTGCCGCGGAACAACTCGGTTTGACCACACTTTGACCATCTATTATGTCGTTTCCAAGCATATCGAGGAGCAGAAATTAGTCTAACACACCTCATACCACAGGATAATCTTACACTAACATACAGGTAATGAAATAATCTGGCCTCTACTGATTTTTGATCATAAAGGAAGAAAAATGCCCAAATTTGCTCTGATTGCATGTCCATATGCGTGTACCTCGAAATGCCCCCCGCCCCATACGTTGCCGAACACGGTTTATGCATTCTATTTTCCATTGAGTTGTCATATTTGCTGAGTGTAAACACTATGCAATGTAACTGTCTTTCACACTTGCATCTAACCAAAATGTGCCCAAAGTTAATAAACATATACAGAGCTTAATCGTGTGTATTTGTTGTGTGTAGTTACTCTGTGTATAATTCCTCACCAAACAAGAAAGAAGCAGAAAGAAAGAAAATAAATGCAAGCGAACCCATCAGATGCCACAATAGTGTTTTACTGTTAAAAGGTAAAAATCAACAGCATTTCCCTCTTTACTGTAGCCCCACATACATTCGTCTGAGCCATTTGAATATGCCTAAATCAATGTGTTCATTAATAGTATTTTTAGACATTTGTCAAATCATGACACACTGTTGAAGAAAATATGAGAAATAAAACAATTTGACTCAATCAGATTACCTTTGAAAACTCGAAAGGCTCCTGACATTCAGTTAGAATATATAAATGTTTAAAGATTTGGTACATATTTTATTCAAACCCTGTTGGGTTTTTGCTTTAAAATACATTTTAAATGACCATAATGTTTCCCGTTGATCACCGTCTGGGAAAGCACGATTAAAGTGGTCTTGCGCTACCTAATGGCAGAGTTAGTAACTGACAGACTTACGAAGCCCCCGTAGCCCAATGTTGAAATTTCTCGTCCTGCTCTAAATATCAAATTTAAACGTGTTTTCCGAAATAATATTCTCATTGATCGAAATGATACTTAGATTGATGCCCTTCACTTTCGTCATGATCTGTCTTTGTTGACTTCGGTTTTGGTTTGAAATTTTATTTCGCGTTCTCCTTGTGTTCCTTTGTCTGGTGTCACGCTTGGTTATTGGGTTCACCTGTACTTTTCATTCGGTCCCATGCTTTAACCTATCAGCTCCCTCCAAACCTTTGTGATGTGCAGGTGTTTCTTGTTGTCTCGTCGATTTGTTTCTATTTAGTTCCGTGCTTCACTCATGACCTGTTGCCCATCCCAGTGGCTGTTTTTTGTTTCTTGTTTTGGTCAAGTCAATGCTTTAAGCTTTTCCTGAATCTTATTTTGGACTTTCATATTCGTATTTGTTTTATTTGAGAATGAACACATTTTCTTTTTTTTCCTCCTGCCCATTGATGAATTATTCAATGCGTTAGAATTATTTTTGTAGTTCTCTCAAAAACATGTTGAACAAGGCTCAACAGAACTTGCTACTCGCTCCAGTAAGTCTGTACCAGAATTTAGTTAAAAAAAAAAAGACTAAAAAAGCGAAAGCCACAAAATTTAGGTTAACTTTTAGCAGGGATTGTAGAGCTCTGTAAAACAGTGTTGAGGTCATGAAACTGAGGTCGTGCTCGAAATGGAAACTTAATGTTACATGAAAAACATGAGCAGATGGTTCCTTTCCATTTTCAAACGAACACTGTTTTCTTTTTGTCGTATGTTATGAAGGCTGAATTAAAACTGTCAGTTTGTTTGCTCACCAACTAGTTCTCTGGATCCTTCGTGGCAAATTACATAAACTGAATCTTAATTGTTCTTCTTGCCAAGCCCTTTTGGATAATTATGTACTTTCAACCCTGTATTTTGTCGCTGGGTCTTACTTTTGGCCACACGGTGTGCACACCTGCTGCCTTTGACATAAAAACCTCAGTCCGCTTTCATTGCTCATTAAAAGCCTGGCGACCTTTCACCCACTTGCAATGTCCACTTTCCAAGCCAGACTCATTCGCTGCTTAGGGCCTCCATGGTGCGGATGAGATTTTGCAGGCCCAAAAGGTATCCGTCCTCTCGGTTGCCCTCTCGCCAGGGAACGTCGTGCTTCAGCACGTGGCCCTCCGGCAACGCGGTGGTCTTGCCAAAGTCAATCATCCACACCTGAGCGTTGCCCGTGTGGTCGTGGATGAAAAGCAGAGAACTGCCGATGACCTGGAGGAGGGAAAACGACACCTCTCACTATGGGGCCGCGCAACTCAACAGTGCAATAATAAACAGACTGTTCAACGAAAGCCAACCAGATGCGGGAATGAAAACGGATGGATGGAAAAGAGTAAATGCCTACAGAAATTTAATTCATTCCAATTTCAAACTTAAAATTTCCATTTTAACTTTTACAATGAATCAATTAACCAATGATTTAATTATTCAAATGAACTTATTTTGCTGACAATATAGATTGTGAAATGGTGCAGTGGACCGAAAATGACCAAAGCCCTTTTGCAAGCTCGCTCTTACTACTTCTCATCATCACCTCATGCTGCTTGAAGAACGCCGATGTTTTCAGCGCCTGTTGGATCTCCATCAGTCTGCTCAGGTAGGACTGCTGTGAAGAAATCAAGACATGCACATGATAAGCACATGACATTCATTAAACTTGTCATGAGCAGTTTAATGTGACAGTATCGCAGAGGGTATGAGTGAGACCAGAGAGTAAAAGTGTGGCGATAGCCATAGAACACAGAAATGCAAAAGAACGCATCTGGCCATTGAGCAACACAATCATTGACATTCTAATATTACCAAGAGTTCCTCCTTTCTACTTGAGTAGTTTTACTTTATTTTACTTTATGATAGTGGTTAATTTTTCTTTATTCTTGTGACAGTTTGAGCCAAAAAGACGACAATTTTCCCTATGGGATAGTTGTTTTGAAATTAGAACTTGGAGGTCAATCATTGTGATGGTTGTATTCGCATTTGGAGCTTCCCCTTTAATTACACTTTATATACAGTATGACGTAAAGCAGATGTGGACACATCGATATTTGGGAAGTGTGTGAATATTTTCTTTGTGCTTGGAATCCTTCTGCCAGTTTGCTAACGCAGGTCAAACAGTATGATTTGGCTTATTTCACTTACTTTCTTCCACAGCGTAACAGATGTTTGCAGATGTGCAACCACATCCTGCACGTATACACACGCTCGCCAGCCACAACATGAGCTACACTTGAAAAATGTCATCTACTATACTTTCGACGATAACTACATTTGACTCTCATGTCGTGAAATCCCAGGACCACTGACTTCACTTTCATTGAGTGATATATAAATTGTAATCAATAATTATATTCATTTTTTTTAAATTCACTCTGATCTTAAATTTTACTAAAAAATAATTCCTAAGAATAATAATTCCATTGTATTGTAGCTTTTATTTTTATCAGGGTTGCCTTGTACGCGTCTGTCCTTGCGTGCAATATTCCAGTGTTCTCATCTTTGTTTGCTGCTACTTACTATAATGTTGACGTTGTCACCGACAAAGTCCTTGAACGACTCGATGATATCCTGCTCCGACCTGGTTTTCTTGAAGTCGGTCCGACACGTGCCGTCACATTTCTGAACACAAGGAAAAGACACAATAAGGTTACGGTGAACGCATGCATGTCAGGCAAAGCTCCAAATGATTTGTTTGACTCGACCTGAGAAAAACAGAAAAGACACTTGATTTAGAAGATTCCGTTGACAAATGAAGTTTCGATCTGAAAAGCACTCGAGTGCTTTAATATGAGCTTTAGCACGATGAGCTTTGTTGTAAATACATTTTTGACCTAGATGGGGCAACTTAAGGTGCTTCGTTTGAAAGTCAAATGGTTACTGTACTTAAGTAGATTGCCAACTTTAGGTGAGTATGGTATTTATTTTTCTAATTGCTTTTAACATTTGGCGCCTACATTTGGAAACAGATTTTTTTTTTTTGTCAAATTAGACTTTTTGATTTTTTCAAACCTCTGCAATTGAGATCTTGATTGGCAGGGGGGGAAAAAAAGGGACAGCGGTGATATGGAGGAATGTTAACCAGGTTGCATTAATGTCGTTTGCAACGCATTTGGAAAGACAACCCCATCAAATGACCTTATTTAAGTGTTTCATGGCTACAACAATGATTATTGGTGAATATGTTGAATCGTATGAGTATTTTTATCGCCTATGAAGTCAAGGTTATCATGTGGGCGACACGGTGGTCGACTGGTTAGCACGTCGGCCTCACAGTGCAGAGGTGCAGGGTTCGGTTCTGGCTCCGGCCTTCCTGTGTGGAGTTTGCATGTTCTCCCCATGCAAGCGTGGGTTTTATCTGGGTACTCCGGTTTCTTCCCAAATTCCAAAATAATGCGACACTCGAAATTGTCCCGAGGTGTGATTGTGAGCGTGAATGGTTGTTCGTCTGTATGTGCCCTGCGATTGACTGGCAACCATTTCAGGATGTACTCCGCCTACTGCTAGACTCCAGCACCCCTGTGACCCTTGTGAGGTTACAAAGTGTGTTACAAAGGACTACCGTATTGGCCCGAATATAAGACGGCCCTGATTATAAGAGGACCCCCTCTTTTTCAAGACTCAAGTTTGAAAAAAGACTTTTTGAACACCAAATTAATTTTTATACAGAAAATAATTACACTACATCTGAAACAAATGATTATAACAATATATTTGAGAGAAAAAGCATGTTATTTTGCCTCATTCAAATCTAAAGTGCAATCACATTCGTAAATGAATGGCTTCTGGTTTTTGAAATGTAAATTACATCATAACTTCTCCTCAGCTGCCGGTTAACCTGGCCGATCTTCGACCCACGTTTCTCCAGGTTGTCACTACGTTTCTCCATTTTCTGTTATCTCTTCTATTATTTTCTTCTCTTTTCCTTCTTACCGCTATTTTTTATTTTTCTTCTTCGTGCTACCGCTATTTTTATTTTTATTCTTCGTGGCAGGGGTTCACTTTGGCCTGGGGAGTCAAGTTCAGCATTCGCTTCATTGATATCTGGCGCCATCTAGCGTCGTGAATGGGTATAATGTCTAGACCCCGAATATAAGACGACCCCCTCTTTTTCAGCCTTATTTCAATGCAAAAAACACCGCCTTATATTCGGGCCAATACGGTATATTGTGGCCGCCTACGTGTACCTTGATGCCGTCTATCCTGAAGCCCATGGTGTTGCTGGAGCTCAGGCTTTCCCTCCACTGCATGTAGCGAGGTTTAGTGACGCCACACTGGGAGTGTTCCTGGGCGGTCGGGCCTTCGCTGTCAACCTCCACCATCTTCTTGTACAGGTCCTCCCTTGGCTTGGGCCGCTCCCGCGCTCGAACCAGTTCTTCCTCCAAGTAGGTTCTACAAGCAGGAGGAGAATGTTTACACGCCATCGGCATTGAAGGCCACACTCCAAAATGTCAGAGGCTATTTACATTCAGGGCGTGCATGACTTTCACTTCCCTGTTTTATTGACAAGACTAGCGATGCTTTTGTTAAATTGGCACTCGGACTGAGTTTTTGTCCTCGATACTGTGGCTGTAAACAAGCACATGTGACTATTCAGTTTCAGTTTGTGAGCTGTAGAGCACTCTGCAAGGGGAAGCTGAGAGGAAACTCTACCGTACGGTGCTCAACAGTGTTTGTGCAAGTGAGCGGTTTTGAAAGTGTGTGGTTAACAAACAAAAGGGGAGTCTCCAGGGACACCCCGAGTGTGTGAATGTGATGCAAATGTGCCGCCGCACAGCTCGCGTGTGGACGGGTACTTTAGTTTTTGAAGACTTTTCCTTAACAAAAGGGAAGTAAAGGGGGCAAACCTGTTTGTGCATATTTTGTGTGCACTTGCACATCATGCTGTGGGAGGAAGTCAAGAATAAAGTGTGCAATTTGAACAGGTGTTCCCTTATAGGAGCACTTTACTTTTAAGCAGAACATACTGTAACATACCATTCTCTACGTCTCACACACACACACACACACACACACACAGATAATTTTTAATTCATATTTTCTTGTAACTATGACTATACTACTGCGTTATGGGGGTTATAGACTTCTGCCGAAATTTGCGTTACCTTGGCAACATAGGTTCACTGTAAACTGACAAGCTCCTGTAGATACTACAGTAGCATGAAATGTTACTGTCAATATTTTTAAATGATAGTCAAATGTTTGCATTAAATCCATTTAAAATAAGAAAATAGGTGAAAGAAATGACCCTTTAGACATAGCTTAGTTACCTTACTCCCATCTTGCAGTCCATAACATTTGGAAGGTCAAAGGCTGTCAGCAGATCATCCATGCGTATGAAGGATTCTCCGTCTTTCTCCACCACGCCGTGGTAAAGGGGCACGAACGGCAGCAGAGCGTCACCTCTCAGCCTTTCAAAGCACTGCACCTCATTCTCAGAAAATTTCTTCAGAATGCTGCCCTCGTCTGCCGCTTTGAAGTTACCTGGCATCACATGTTCAGCCTCCAATAAGTCTGGTTTTATGATTAGGAATGACATTAAGGGTGGGGAGGTGTGGGGGAGGGGCGGCTCGGTAGTCCAGTGGTTAGCACGTCGACTTCTCAGTGCAGAGGTACCGGGTTCAATTCCAGCTCCAGCCTCCCTGTGTGGAGTTTGCATGTTCTCCCTGTGCCTGCGTGGGTTTTTTCCGGGTACTGTGGTTTCCTCCCACATTCCAAAAACATGCATGGTAGGCTGATTGAACACTCTGAATTGTCCCTAGGTGTGAATGTGAGCGTGGATGGTTGTTCGTCTCTGTGTGCTCTGCGATTGGCTGGCAACCGATTCAGGGTGTCCCCTGCCTACTGCCCAAAGACAGCTGGGATAGGCTCCAGCACCCCCCGCGACCCTAGTGAGGATTAAGCGGTTCGGAAAATGGATGGATGGAGGTGTGGGGGAGCTGATGCTGGGGCAGGGGAAGTGATTCAAGTAGGCCAACCTTACCTTTGTGACCGGCAAGCTGCACCCAGTTTAGCTTTCTTCTTTGGGCAGCGCTAAAGGGCCAGTGGACAATAGTCTTCAACTTCCACCATGGCTTGGTCTGATGAACAAAGACATAATCACAATCAAAAAGATGTTCTGTAATTTTAAAAAAAGACAGGCTGTAAAGCTGACAGAAGACAAAAAAAAAAAAACGCAACTGAACCACAGAAAACAATGTCTGTCCCTAACTCAACCATAAAGAGTGCCCTGAAGAAGAATAAATCACTGCCCAAGTTTAATATCAGATGCAGAAAATGAAGGGATGGATGGTCCGATATTTTTTGAGGGGAGTGTCTTTTGTTTTTCTACTTGCGTCATTTTCACACAATCATCCACAGAGGGTTTACTTACGGTACGGAAAATTGTCACACAATTTCCTAAACCAAACCAGACATGAACATAAACTAAAGACATGACAGTGTGTAATTATTTATTTTTTTAACACATTTCATAGTTGCATGCTCAGTGTGCTGAATCAAACAATTAGAACTACAGCCCATGGTACCATTGATGTAATGAGGCTTTCTTGGCTGTCTGCAAACTGTGTCTGTAACTGTAGGGAGCTGTATCTCCCACCCCCCCCAAAAAAAAAAATCTATTGCTCTGTTTTGACAGTCAGAGGTACTAAATGAGTCATATGTGTATTTTTGTGGTTGTAGTTTGCAGATGACAACTGTACTGCAACCAAAACTAAGCATTGTTGTCTTTATAACGGCAGAATTGTAGGACGAACGTTTTCGGGGCATAATTCTCTTTTCGGACTGCGCCGAATTGCTGCTTTACTTGGCAGAAATGTTTATTTCATATGCTTGTTTGGAGGACTCCTTCCTTCACTGCTGCTTTCTCGTCCCTCTCTTGTCACACGTGCGAATATGCAAACAGGCACAAGGAAAACAAAGTGACAGCTTGCATATTTCACAGAGACACACAGCGGTGCTTCACACTTTCAGGGAACTGCCTGTTTTATTTCCCTGCAATAAAAGTGGCTAGAGCTGAACTGTTTGAAATGTTTAGTGACATTATCACACTTCTTGAAAACGTGACACACGCGAGGCTAGATAATTCCCAGTTGTCTGTGTGCAACTTTGACATGTTTTCCTCTTCCACTGGCGTGATGGGGACGTCATGTTGTGCTATGGCGACGTGATGGAAAGAGGAAATGAAACGCACGCTGTTGTGTTGGACTGATTACTTCTCAAATAATTCTTCTACATGCAAAATGTTTAAAAAGTCAAATGGATTTGTCTTTGTTTTATTTAGCGTTTTTTTTTTTTTTTGTTTGTTTTGCTTTAAGTCATTCGGCCCTTCCTCTACCTGCATGTACCAGCTGCATTAGTGTATTATTTATGTTTATCATATTTATGTAATGATTGCAATATTTCACCACACCAGCATATGAGTTATTGGTCTGTCAATGACCTAGATTTTCCTTTTTCTTTTTTTAATGTGCGTGAGTATTGATAACATGATTACATTACATAAATAACAGTGGTCAAAAATGGTATTGCTTCTTTCAATGTTGAATTTATGACAGGCAACTGAAGGGTTGGGTAGAGAAACTCTAGTCTAGTTGATCCATCCACTAGTTAGGGTTATGGGTGAGCTGGAGTCTATAGGTGTGGTATGAATTTTAGTTTGTTTAGTCATGTCTCGTGATTGACTGGCAACCATTCCTCTTGTTTGTAACTCTAATGAGAAAAGCCAAAAGATGGAGCTACACTGGGGTCATTTATAACCATGGATCAGTTGAAGTAACTACCTTAACTTCAAAACTCAATTGCATTTGCTTATTTCAATGTAATTTCATATTTTGGTTTGTTATCACCAACTTGCACACACTGGACAAATTCAAAAAAATCAACTCACTTAAAAATTGAATTACCGAGGTATGATAAGTTTGTCCTGCATGTCCACTGAAACGAACAGCTCATCAGCAAGCTCTGTAGAAGCCTGAAACAAGCATGATCAATTGAATCAGGTGTGTTGGAGTAGGGAGAGCTCTAAAAACAGGCAGGATATGGCTCTCGAGGAACCGGAGTTCCCTACCCCTGCTCTAAATAGTTGCTAAGTGTGAGTGTAAGCGTGGATGGGTTTTTTTTTGTCTTTGTGCGCCATGCGATTGGCTGGCAATTGGTTCAGGGGGTCCCCCGCCTTCTGCCTGAAAACAGCTGGGATAGGCACCAGCATGCCCCGCGACCTTGGTGAGGATAAAGCGGATCAGAAAATGTATGGATGGATGTTTCATTTGGGCCTATTTATGTATTTATTTATTTATTTATTAATTAGCTAGCGTGATTTCTGTACTATGGATTTCTCCTGATTGTTGTTTTCTCATTTATGACACACTGACTCATGTTTATACCACCCTAGTTTTGTAGAATTTTCCAAATTTGTTGTAGTCAACGCTTAAAAGTCTACAGGTGTTTACCGGTAAGTTAACTCAGATGAAGTGGATACTGGAAATAAAGTGTTGTATTCATCGTTCATTTGCCTTTGTTTTAGAGCAAATCTAACCTACAAGACTAAAACGTGTGCATAATAAACCCCCAATTAATTTATTGCTTACATGGGAAGGGGACCTTGAAAAAAAATAAACACATCAAATTGGAATACTGAGGGGGAAAAAAATTCTGAATTAAAATATTTTTCCAAATCCTTCAGCCCGAAACAATCCACTGCAGTCATTTACAACTGTGCATTCGGATGATTTGTCGCTAGATAAGGTGTGTTTGGCATGTTTTTCCCTGTCAGCACTGCAGCTCTCTTTGTGTTTGGCCAGAGATTCCTGGCATGTGGGACACCCAGGCTGACAAAGCTGAGCTGATCCAAGCGGTTGCCCATGGCAATGCTGCGAGCACAGGCTACAGAGGCACTCGCATTCAAGGGAAAGAAAGTGAAGAGGTAGGCGCGAGACAGAACGACAGGCTCTGTGACTAATATCTGCCATATTAAAGTGTGCTGACACCTTTGACAGGGCGATACAAACTCAGCATGGAAGCAGTAGAAATGATAAATCTCTTCTGAGCGCTTAACTTATGAAATACTGCAGCTTTATAGTGATGTGTAAGTGATACTGACTTCCTGTAACGGTGCCTTGTTAAATGTCAAAGCTCGATTTGCTAAAAGGGGGGGGGGGGGGGGAAAAAATGAAAAGAGCATTATTGCATAATGCCATGTTCGCCTTTCAAATGTGTGTGTGTGTGTGTGGGCGGAGAAGGGCACTAAACACTGTCGCTCCAATCCGATCAGGCGATGAAAACATTTTCCTTTGAAGCGATAGTTCTATATTCTCTAGGAATGGTGAAACCCGTGTGAATGTGCGCTCCTTTCGGGTCATTTGTATTGACGATGTTGAAGAGAAAATGACAAGCGCAGACCTTTTAATGAAGAAGCGAGGAGGACGAGTGAAAGAGTAACGTTTAACGGTGACAGTGTTGACCTAAAGAAGACGAAGCACCGCAGTGTCTATGAGCACAGTCAGCTTTGCAATTCTCGTACTATCGTGAGAGAAATGCAAACCCTTTGTGGCCATTGTGTCTCGCAAATTGTGCTCAATAAAAGCACGTCAGGTCTGACTGAGAAGCATCGACAAACAAAAATGTTCTTCGACCAAGAAGATATTAACATATACACAGACACCCTCGGCCTGTGTTTAACTTGAGGCCGCTCCCGCAACACCTGCAGTATGTGTGTCTAAGGAGGGACAGAGCAACATTGAAACTTTAAAAGGCTCGACGGTTCCAACGGGATCGTAATAGAAAACAAAAACCTGTTCTAGTGTTCATGTTGTGGCGTCATCACGGTTGAATATACTTTTCAGTCATGCGAGCGTTACAAAAAGTAAACTGCTGTTACCTTTGATGACAAGTGATGGAAATGTAATGTGATGTGGAGAGGAACGTTGAGGGAGGGAGAATTCAGCCAAACAACATTGCCTGCTGTCACTGAAGCGTAAAAAGAAGTAATCCAGAGTGGACCCAAAAGAAAAAAAAAACCTTAAAAACAGTCACCATTAACTGTGATGATGAATGACGGATGCATTCCTGAATACAGACAGAGCGATTGCTTAACACGGAACGTTAATTTGCAAGTATGCATTGTCGGAGTGTGCATGTCTCCAATAAATAACATATCCTTTATTTGTCCCACACTGGGGAAATTTACAGTCTCCAGCAGCAAGATTGTGGGTAGAAATAAGAAAGGAGAAAAACAAAGTGTTTGCATTCACAGATAGAGATAAGGTGGCTGTGCTAGTTACAATTGTTTTTCACATCATTTTATTTTTTTATTCAGCAGCCTGACAGCAGTCGGTTGGAACGAGCGGCGGTATCTCTCCTTCTTGCAGCGCGGGTGTAACAGTCTCTGGCTGAAGGAGCTACCTAGTTCTGTCAGGGCGGGCTGGTGGGGGTGGGAGGGACTGTCCATCATAGCTTTTAGCTTAGCTAGCATCCTCCTGTTGCCCACCTCCTCCAGAGTGTCTTGGGAGCAGCCCAGGACAGAACTAGCCCTCCTGACCATGTTGATGATTCGATACATACCGAGTCAATAGTGTCCGATATAACTCAAAAACAGTACCGTACGTTTTCAAATGTAACGATTTAGTTTGATTCAGTGGGATTATGATTCATTTCAAAGATGTGTGGCTGTAGTTTTGGTCATGTTTTTTTTTTTTTTTTTTTTTTTTAACAAAAATATGTTTAACAGCACTTAGATCAACCACATGGAGACATTTAAGGGTTCCTGTTAACCTCCGGCATCATCTGTAGCAGGGAATTGCCAACCCAGGTGCCGCGGCGCAGATGCGCTTTGAGAGATCAACAAAGGGTGTCATGAGAACCCACCCGAAAATCAAAGTCCGAAAGCAATTATTTGTCATTGACAAATTATCTTTGTTCTCTTATTCATGCCAGCAACATACAATGACAGGCAGAACAATTAATGTTTACCGTGTGTATCCACTAGTTGCGATCCATACTATGGAACAGGTGATGGTTTCCTGCAAGTTTATCACCCCTTGAGCAGGGGTGTCAAATTCGTTTTAGTTTGCGGGCCACATTT